GCAGAATGCACCTCAGCTCCTGATTTATAGCTTGTCTGAGAACACCATCTCAAAGATGGCGCACCCTCCATTGAGCGGTCCGTCTTCCTGTCACCCCCCGCTTTCCTTTCGGCCAGGTCAGGTGCCAGCTCGTTGCAGCGATGCCAGATTTTGGCATATTAATGTGTGGGTGTTTGTGTTTATGAGATCAGGGAGGGGTTGGCGGCGGTCGGGGGGCATCGGCAGTTGGCAGGCTGGCACACAAAGGCTGGCAAGATAAGATCCTCCCTCTTCTGCGGGCAGATTTTCTCGCCCATATCTTTTGTTTGGGTTGTTTGGGTTGCAGCTCATCCTGATAAAGGCCACTTTGTTTAGACAACAAAGCGCAAGGGAGGGAAAAAAGACGAAGATAGAGAGACAAAGAGATAGAATGAGAGAGGGACGGGGGGTTGTTTAATAAAGAAGGGAAACGAGGAAAGGGGGGGCACCAAAACAGATGGAAACCTTAAAGGAAAATAGAAGACAGATAGGGGAAGAAAATTCAGGAGAAAAAAAAGATGTAGCATGAGCTTTTCGGCGGATAAGATACACTGAATAGTAGATGTACACACGTGAAAAAGATACAATGGAAAAGGGATACAGTTGCAGGCACAGGGACAGCGATAGGCAGATAGCGAGGAGAAGAAAGAAGGATCTGGGAGAAGGGAGCAGGTTCTGCTGGCTGTTTGGAATCCAGCCCAAGCAGTGTGAGGTCATCATCGAAGCTGTGAATGATAGAAACCAGGAGCACAAGAGGACATGAGGCAAAGTACACACACACACATACACACTTTACATACCAGCACATGTACAGTCAGAGAGCGGCGTGGCCCTCCTGCACATGCACTTACGCCTGCAGGTTTCCAAGGAAGGACAAACTTTCCGGAAGAGGAGAAAGTCTGTTTGGTCGCCTCAAATATTTACTCAGGGGCAGATGTATTGTCGAAACATTACGCATCAGAGCTGCTCCATAATTAGGTGGATATTTTTCTCCCTGCCTCGCCGGGAGTCCACCCCCACCCCCCCCCCCACCCCCTTTCGCCTCCCCGGGGCTGCTGAAATGCATCTTGGCTCGGGACCCGCGCCTCTGGCAGCCAGAGCGCTATACATGTGCACAGAACCCTGCTCGGCATATAAAATGGCTGCCAGACAGGCTTTCTCCTCCTGAAATGTCGACAGCGGTATGCATCTGCAGGGCGTGCGTGGGACCGAGCCGAGCGCGTGCGTGCTTTGCTGTTTCTGAACGTGTCTGCAAGTGTTTGCGGGCTAGAAAAACTTGCGCCGTTCCTATTAGGGAAGGAGAAGAGAAAAAAAATAACAAGAAGAAGGAGAGAAAGTTTCCCAAACTATGTGGCTAATTTAACCCACACTCTCTTCATATGTTTGTGTGCGTATGTGCTCCACAACTCGGTGGGAACGGAATGGGTTCAGAGCCAAAAAAATCGAGGAGGAGGGTGGGTTGGAGCCAGAGTGTGCGAGTGTTTCAGTGATTATAAAATCCAGGCGAGTAACACACTTGGGTGTGGAGAAAACCTCATAAGCACTCAGAAACTTTCTTGCCGAGCCAGATTTCTGTTGCCATTACCACTAATTGCCCTAATCGTTACAGTGGTATGATAAGTATCCCACCGGACAAGAAGGTGTAAGAACTCGTGGACACATCCAAAAATACCCACAAGCCTCTTCTGCTGCTCCCTTCCAAGCCCCCCCCTTCCTTTTTTTTCTTTTCCTTATTGCTGAGTAACAGCAGATAATCTGATTCAAACGCGTTGCTGTTTTTCCCCTTCCTTCATGAACCGGTCTGTTTATTTAAACAAGTGGCGGGGGATGGAGGGTGCCAAGAAATGTTGTTTTTGGAAAAGAGCAAACGTGTGTTTATCTGTTTGTGAGTCTCTGTGTGTGTGTGTGTGTGTGTGGTATGTGGCCCTGCCAAGCTCTCAGGGCAAAGCTGGGACTTCTCGACCGCAACTGTTTATTTACAGGTTACACTACTGTTTATTTGAAGACTATCAGATTGGCCGGACTTCTGCATAAGACACCTTTTAGATGGAGATAGCAGGGCCCCAGGCTCCTAATAAATCAGGTCTCCACTGTACTGTATCTGAGCAAACGTAAGAAGAAAAATGAACCCAGAGTTTTCCTGCATCTAAATAAAAGAAAAAGTGAATCTACCTCAGGATTCAATAAACAAAACTGTGACCTGACTTATAAGTATTTGTCCATTCAATTTTTTTTTTTAGTTCATGTATTTTTTGTCTCTAATCTTCAAAAAATATTAGATATAAAAATAACCCGACATGCAACAAACCAGTTTTCTAATGATGGCTTTAAAACAACTATAAAAAAGGCACTTTGATCTAAAGAACTTCATACCAGATGAGAAACAGTTGATTCTTTTTTTTTTTTTTATATTATATTATATTATAAATGTATTACGATCCCAGGTGGGGAGGAAAGAAGAGAGCGTAATGCTGCCCTTCTTGTGTCAAAGGTAAAATGTAATGCAGTAGGGGAGGTGTTCCCGGCTCTGGTGCAGGCCTGGCAGATGTGCCATATGCTTGCATCCCACCTTGAGTCATCCAGGTGGTCTCTCCTGGTGCTACAGCGGGGCCTCATGCTGGAAGATGCTGCCTGCGATCTCTAATTGCCGAGGCCATCTGCTCTTTTTGTCATGCTTGCCTGTTCGGCTCACAGAGAAGTAGGGGAAGATGAAAAAAACAAACAAAATGCAAAAAAAAAACTCTGATCTGATCTAACTGTGCCGAAACGTCCCCGTCTCCCACCTTCTGCTCCACCTCTCTTTACCTCGCCGCTGCTCTTTTTCTCTCCGCCCGCCTGTGTCGCTCCCTCTCAGCACTTCCCGGGGAGCAGGAGTTGGCAGTCGTATAAGTAGACTGATGGATGACTCTGAAAGTGGAATAAAGAGGGGGCGAAAGGGGTGGGGGCGTATGCCAAGTTCCCTGCAATCACTTTATATGCTACAGTAAGTCTACGTAAACCTTTACTTACCAACAAAAGCTCATTTAAACAGTGTGTTTGCATGTAGAAATGATTTTACTGATGCGAAACAAAGGAACTGCTTGGACTTGACATGTAGAACCTCCAATACTGCGTTAAAGAGGCCTTATCTTTAGGTAAACTGGATTTTCTTAGATCTTAACCTTTCCAATACTTTTTTGATGCAGCTTCTATGCATATTCTGAAAACAAAATAGTAATTTCCTATTCTATTGCTCGAAAAATCCTTAAAATAAATGTTATGTTAAAACGTTTATTGCAGGAGTATAATTTAACACTGAAAAAAATATATATTTAGAAAAATCCAGCTTATTTAAAAACATTTATTCAGTGCAGATTAAATGGCCCATTGAAAAACAATTCATTTACATAAAATGATATTTAGTGCAAACCCAAATAAGTCATAGAAATTAAATGTTTGAGCATTTTCCAGTTTGATGCGATTGAATTGACTCTGTAAACTGTCTTGGGATGACAGGTGTTGTGATTTGGTGCAACATAAATAAAGTGAACTTACATTTCCCTCGGATATAGATATGCAAAATTGTGTCTGTGGTTGAAAAAAGTTAGTCAGGTTGAACAAATAAGGCAAATCTAAGCTAAAAATATGAAATTCCAGTCTATTCCCAGGGCTGAATAAAAGCAGAACATGTATGTGATGCCCCTCAGATCTCTTCCAATGGAAATGATCACCTTAGGCTCATTCCTTTACCTGTTTTGGTGGTAGGTTTTAAGTCTCTAACTTGTTCATTACTCATTTGTTTTGTAGGTCTAAGTATGCTGAAAATAGATGATATTTTCTGCTTAATGTATGGTTCTTTTCCCCCTCCCCACTTTGTCATCGTTGAGCTCCAGCCAAGAACATTCTGTTTTTGCAGCGCTGTTTAATAGTCAAATTTAGGAGCAGGGGAACAAGACGGAGCGGGAGAGCGACACGGAGATGGAAATAGAAAGGAATAAATCTCTTTGGACCCCCCCCGCCTCCCCATCTCCATCTCCCTTCCCCTGCACCAACCATTTTTTTTTCTCCCTATTACACAGCTCATAGGAGCTGCGACGGGAAAGCGGGTGTTTTTGCAAGGCGAGGGTATCTGAGTTCACCGTCTCTCGCTGCAGCCTCCTCGCCTCTCATGTTAAAGCCGTCACATGTTGAAGGTGTAGATGATAATCTCCCTTCTGGTTCTCATTCTGTTTCGGGGCCATGTGTGGGCTTAGGCCGGTGAGGGGGGGGGGGAGTCCTTCTCCCTCTCAGGACGCTACCATTAACCCCTTGGAATGACTCGGTCCGATTTAAAACCCCCGAGTCACTGTTCCTGTAGGTGGAAATCTGAGAGCGATTTATGTCACGTCTTTTTTTTATGTTTTACAACTTTTGAAGAAGAATAAAGATCCTAGCACTTGTCAGAGACTGACCTTGAACTAGAGAGGAGTGATATACTGTATTTCCCGCCCCCTTTCTCTGTTTCCCTGCTTCCTGCTGAGGCTCCTGAGGTAAAAGACGACAGTCATACCAAATCCTGCGCACTGTAGCTGGTGGAAAGAATTCAACTCATGTTTCTCCACCCCTCCCTGTCCTCTCTTCCCCTTTTTTTCCCCTCCCCACTAATGTTCTGTGCTTGTACCTTGCACAGCAGGGCCGAATGCATTCTGAATCCCCTGCTCCCCTGAAACCCCTCAAAAAAAATAATGAAGTCGAGAAAACTTTAAGGTTCTTCTTCATCAGACTCTGAGCTCCTTCCTATTAATTATGATGCTGTACAAAAACATTTTTCACTGGTACAGTAGATAAGAGGAACCCTTCCTGTCTTATTTTATGTTTAAAGTACTTTTTTCACATGTTTTTTCTTTAAGCTTCAAAATAAATGCAATACTATGAAAACCTCAGAGCCAAAAGGCTCCAAATGTCCAGATTAATTAAGTGTTTTCCTATACTAACCCTCCACCCTTTTCTTTCTGTGTCTGCAGACTCGCAGCAGTCAGGAAGTCCCAGCAACAATGAGCCAGGCAAAACCCCTCTTCCAGGTATGTGGAGCGCCGCTCGTCCTCCCACCCTCCTGTCATCTTTTCATTGTTCCTCTCCGGGACGCAGAAGCTTTATGTACACCAAACCTCCTCTAAATCCTGCTTGGGAACGCCGTGACTGGCAGGCGGGAACAGCGGCGTGCCTCTTAGGGCTGCAGGCCTACGTGCAGAGGCATGAGCTGCTGTCAATTCTGCAAAAAAAACACATCATGTGTGGCGGAGGTTTTTGTGTCAACACGCTCATTGTCGCGCTTATGAAATCAACGCATTAAATCTAAATGATGACAATTCCTATTTCAAAATCGAATTCGCCTGTTATGATCGAACTGAAAGCGTCACACGGGGACAGTTCTATTTTAAATGTTACAAAAGACGGGGTATAGTCTACGTATTTTCCCCCGGTCTGACCTGTGCCGTGTCGTCACAATGTTGGAATGCAAATAGTTTCTGAAGTATAATTAGTTTTGTACTTCAAGAGCAGGTTCTGCCGACGCTGGTGCCAAAGAAAACATGCAAGGCGAGCCAGTGACTCAGGCTTTGGAGGCCCTCAGCGGGTGGCACGGTTCCTTGCAGAAAATGTTGGCTTACGAGCGGCGTTGTGCTTCGTAGGTGCCAGTGAAGATATTCCTAGGTCTTTCTGGCAGGTTCTGATTGACCTCGGCCCGTTAATCATAGCAAAGACCGCATTGGTTATTAGAGACCTGTTTGGCTGCTTTGCTTGGCCGACAAACTCTCATTGCTGCTGCTAATTCCCTCTGGGTCAAACAGGTGTCAGTGAGTGCACCAGAGCTGCAGATATGGTTATTATACAGGTGCTGGTCATAAAATTAGAATATCATGAAAAAGTAGATTGATTTCAGTAATTCCATTTAAAAAGTGAAACTTGTATATTATATTCATACATTACATACAAACTCATATATTTCAGATGTTTATTTTGTTTAATTTTGATGATTACAAATGACAACAAATGAAAATCTCAAATTCATCATATCAGAAAATTAGAATATTGTGAAAAGGTTCAAAATTGATGGCCCCTGGTGCCACACTCTAATCAGCTAATTAACTCAAACCACCTGCAAAAGCCTTTAAATGGTCTTTCAGTCTAGTTCTATAGGCTACACAATCATGGGGAAGACTGCTGACTTGACAGTTGTCCAAAAGACGACCATCGACACCTTGCACAAGGAGGGCAAGACACAAAAGGTCATCGCTAAAGAGGCTGGCTGTTCACAGAGCTCAGTGTCCAAGCACATTAATAGAGAGGCGAAGGGAAGGAAAAGATGTGGTCGAAAAAAGTGTACAAGCAAGAGAGATAACCGCACCCTGGAGAGGATTGTGAAACAAAACCCCTTCAAAAATGTGGGGGAGATTCACAAAGAGTGGACTGCAGCTGGAGTGAGTGCTTCAAGAACCACCACACACAGACGTATGAAAGACATGGGTTTCTGCTGTCGCATTCCTTGTGTCAAGCCACTCTTGAACCACAGACAGCGTCAGAAGCGTCTAAAGAGAAACAGGACTGGACTGCTGGTGAGTGGTCCAAAGTCATGTTCTCTGATGAAAGTAAATTTTGCATTTCCTTTGGAAATCAAGGTCCCAGAGTCTGGAGGAAAAGAAGAGAGGCACTTCATCCACGTTGCTTGAAGTCCAGTGTAAAGTTTCCACAGTCAGTGATGGTTTGGGGTGCCATGTCATCTGCTGGTGTTGGTCCATTGTGTTTTCTGAGGTCCAGGGTCAACGCAGCCACATACCAGGAAGTTTTAGAGCACTTCATGCTTCCTGCAGCTGACCAACTTTTTGGAGATGCAGATTTCATTTTCCAACAGGACTTGGCACCTGCACACAGTGCCAAAGCTACCAGTACCTGGTTGAAGGACCATGGTATCCCTGTTCTTAATTGGCCAGCAAACTCTCCTGACCTTAACCCCATAGAAAATCTATGGGGTATTGTGAAGAAGACGATGCAATACACCAGACCCAACAATTCAGAAGAGCTAAAAGCCACTATTAGAGCAACCTGGGCTATCATAACACCTGAGCAGTGCCACAGACTGATCGACTCCATGCCACGCCGCATTGCTGCAGTAATACAGGCCAAAGGAGGCCCAACTAAATACTGAGTGCTGTACATGCTCATACTTTTCATGTTCATACTTTTCAGTTGGCCAACATTTCTATAAATCCTTTGTTTTTATTGGTCTTCAGTAATATTCTAATTTTCTGATATGATGAATTTGAGATTTTCATTTGTTGTCATTTGTAATCATCAAAATTAAACAAAATAAACATCTGAAATATATGAGTTTGTATGTAATGTATGAATATAATATACAAGTTTCACTTTTTAAATGGAATTACTGAAATCAATCTACTTTTTCATGATATTCTAATTTTATGACCAGCACCTGTATACATGTAAGGGCTGACATTAATTCAACTGACGAAGAGAAACGTTGAACCATCAAATCCACAAGAACTAGAGGAGTTTTTCTTTTTCATAAATAAATCTGATTTTTTTTTTTGGTAAATATTCTAAACAGGATTTAGGATTTAAGGTGAACAAAAAATAAATCACTTTGTGCATTGTCGTGATTAGAAATAAGATTAAAATAGCACTAACTTTGTTCAAATGTGTTTTTTTAATCAGGATATATATATATATGGTTTCTTGTAAACTTAGCCATAGCCTATTAAGTTTTCTTTTTTTCACGTTTTAAACCACCAGCTTCAAAGTAGTTTTTTTTACGTTACGTAAACCAAATCATGGTAGGAAAATTATTGTTAAGTGGAAGATTTCCAAACTGTCAAAGGCAGCTCTGAACTGATGGGATTTTAACTTTGACTTAAAAGAACTCAGGCTTTCAGCACTTTTACAGTCTTCTGGGAGTTTGGTCCAGATAAGTGGAGCATAGGAACTAAATGCTGCTTCTCCATGTTTGGTTCTAGTTCTGGGTGTACAGAGTGGGCTGGAACTTGAAGACCTGAGCGTCTGGGAGGTTGATACACTGAAAACAGATATTTTATGTATTGAGGAGCTGATCCAGTGACTTATAGACTAACAGCGGGATTTTAAAGTCTATTCACTGAACTACAGGGAGCCAGAGGAAGGACTTCAGAACCGGGCTGATGTGCTCTACTTTCTTCATTCTAGTGAGAACACTGGCAGCAGCGTTTGGGATCTGCAGCTGTCTGATGGACTTTTTAGACAAACCTATGAAAATACTGTTGCAGTGATGAATTCTACTAAAGCTAAATGCATGAATTAGTTTTTTCTAGATCCTGCTTGGACATAAGATGAGCAATAGAATAAAATACATTTTCAAACTTAGGCCACTGGTTAGTTGCGCTGTTTACAGAAGACGCAGAGGTCTCCCCATGTGGGTGACCCCTGGTCTAGAGACTATAATTTTTGTTAGAGAGCATTGCAATTGTTATTTTTGAAGCTTGTCCACAAATGGTCAATCATGCTAAGGTCTGTTATGACCTGGCTATTCTACACACAAATATATTTCAATTGGATATATTTCATTATTTCACCCTCTTCTTTTTCCCTGCTAATGAAAGGCATCCAGGATTCTGCCTTTATCCAAGTTTTTATAATCTGGATGTAATTTTAGTCCAGGGTGATCCTCGATGTTTGGAGTTTGTCCCGTTTTGCTCGGTCCCCTGAAATTAAATTACACACAGGTGTTTCTGTTTACTGATTGGGCGACTACTAAAGGCTTTTGTATTTATAGCTATCTGGGGGAAAATATCTTAACTTAGATGCATGTAAATTTTAAAGTTTAGTAAATATTTTGAAATTACAAGTCTATATTTTACTTTCATCAAATCCACATGTATATGGTTCCTTTTGGTTCCTCTTTAGTTATCTTGTAAAATTTCTCAAAAGGCTGAACTCATATTCTCAGCTGTAATGATGTCCATTTATCTCCTCTGTTTCTGCAGTGTATTTGGAGGACAGCTTCATCAAATCAGGAGTTTTCAGTGTTGCAGAGCTGGTGCGAGTCTCCAGAAGTGAGTACATGCTTCCATGTTTTTCCTCTTTGCATACCTGCAGCAATTTATTCTTTGTTGAGCTTGTCTGACGTAGTTGGACAGTCTTAGAGTTTGCGTGTAGAAAGTGTAACAGGTGCATCAGAGCTGATGTCAGAGTCAAATTGCATCGACTAACATAGCAGTTAACTGAGTGTGATCAGGTTAAAAATGCAACTGAGCGTTTGTGCAGAAAGCTGTGGGTTTATGTTTTTCCATATAAACTGTAAGAGTTGACGCAGAAAAGCCCTTGCCTTACAAAAAAAAAGAAAAGAAAGGAAACAGCTTTTCTTTGTAATCTGGGTACCAACTGAAATCACAGCGCACAGCTGTGCTGCGGCGAATCCAGTTTAGCCAGTCTCCTTTGCTTTAGGATAACTCTTGAGTGTGCAGCTGTCTTCAGGGCCTCAACACACACACACACATACACCCACACACAGACAGAGCTGTTGACGGTTGTTCTCCAAAGATTCCTCTGACAGCCGGGGGCACGTCAAGGTACCGTTTACCTGTGCAGACTCTGAGCTGAGGCAGCAACTGTAGCAAACATGCCTGCGGAGCTCAAAGACTCCAGTCACCCCCTCCTCCTCCTCCTCCTCCTCCTGCTCCTCCTCCTATATTTAAAGGAAACATGCCGATGCTGTGTGGCTTGTGTGTTGCAGCATGCAGCAGCCACTTCCAGCGGTTCATTCCTGCTCTATAGTCAGGAATGTCAGTGCTCTTTCAGGACAATCGGAGTCTGCAGTCAGGCTCAGATTATATGACTAGCTTAAGAAATCTCTTTCAGTATGAAGGCATTCTTGAGAAGACCTCAAAGTAAATAGCGTTCTGTCCCCATTGCTTTTCAGTTTAGCGAAATGAATCTCCCTGATGCAGTTTTAAGGTTTCAGAGTGTTGAACTTTTTCTTTATAAAACCTGATTTGTTCACAGGCTCATTCATCCTTGCCATTGCTCAAGGAAGAGAACTTTCCATTGATGTACATTAGATTTCTACCTAGAGATGTAACAAATTCTTTTCATTAACTATAACCATTTTTCCACAGTGGTGTCCGAAACAGGACAATATGGCCTTCAAGTTTACGCCAGCATAAGATTTTATTGTTTAACATCCTAAACATATTCTAAATAGATACATTTAAGTTTTCCATACCTATAAAAGGTGCTATTCCATTAACCATCAAACTATCCAAATTTTAATTATGGAAAAACTGCAAAAAAGATAACCAATAATAAAGAAAACACTCTTCAATAAAAAATTCAATCAGGTGATTTTTTTTTGTCATGTTAAAAGTCTTATATTATGAAAAACTGCTATGAAAACCTTTTTTTTTCTCATCACAAACGTTACATAATCTGCAGTTCTTAGATGAACACTGGAAAGAGTTGAAGGATAATGGCGGGGCTGAACTATGATATATCTCATGTGTTTTTTTTAGTTATTGCATGAACAAACATATTCATATGAAGAGTTTTTGCCTAGTGGATTAGAGCAGTGCTCTTGAGTTCTGAGAAAGCTGCAAGTACCCGTTTTAATCCCCACAGTATGCAATCTGGGTTCCTGAGCAAAACCCTTAACCCCACACTGCTCCCCGGGCGCCACACAATGGCAGCCCACTGCTCCACAAGGGGACGGGTGAAATACAGAGAGTGAATTTCCCCACTCTGGGGCAATAAAGGGATTTTATTTATTTATTTTTTTTAATTTTTTTTTTTATTTTATTTTATTTACCATGTATTTTTGTGCAACTTTAATTGTATCTTTTATTTAATGAAAATACAAAAATTGCAAAACCTTGCTTTTTCAAATTTGGCATAATACCATCATAGTTTTGCTCACTCGGAAACTCAGCCACAGACAAAAAGCTGTTGCTAACTTGAGGTAAGCCTATACAGTTATGTCTAAAACCATTCATACCCCCTAGCAAATTTGCATTCAAATTAACCCAAACGTTTGCCAATGATTTGAAGTGAAACTGTTAAAAAGAAAACATAAAAGTGGTGGAAATGTTTTATCATTTCTTTTTACCGGTATTTTAATACTGATGGAAACAATTTAGCTTCAAATCTTTTTGGCTGGTTGTCACCCTAACTTTTAGCTGCCCTGATGGAGTATTAATAAGCTTTAAATCAGGACTTTGGCGAGTTCCCCCCCTGACTTTTGGATACATTTTAGTAATAAGAACAAACATGTTCAACCTTAATCTCCCAGGGGTATGGATATTTTTGAGCTTCATTGTATCAAATGATACAGTGAAGCTCAAAAATCAGGTTATAAGGTCAGCGAAGAGGTACAAATGAGTCAAAAAGTAATCATTTCTTAGAAGAGAGTCATAATAGACTTTATTGAAACTAGAAATAGCAAAGAACAACTTTAAATGTAATGTACGTAATATTTATATTACAGAAAAGTTAAAATATCACCATAATGGAGCAGCAAACTTTTGAAAGCCGTTAATGCTGACCTTTTTATGTATCCACAGTAAATACTTCTGAAGCAAGAGCATGAGCCACATTGTGTCGCTTTGTGCTCCGAAAGGCACTAACTACTCGTTTCATTGCTCAGACACAGAATATCCCTTGGAAGGCCGTGTTTTTGTGTAGTGTTTAATTTGCCCTCTGACCAGATGGCCTCTGAGCTGCCACATTTGCTCTCATGTGACACAGGCCGGCTCCAGCAAAGCCGGGCTGGAATTTTAAAAAGGTCGCCGGACACACAGGAATTGTCACTCACTCAGTCAGTTCGCTCCCTGGGAAGATATCTGAGCAGCCGCTCGTCCGTCATCACGCTCCTCTCCCGACTCTCTGAGCTGTCGAGACATTCTTTGAAGTCCATCAAAGGGGGCTAAGGAGTTCAAGGCCGAATTGTGGCCCAACGTTTCGACTCATTAATGCAACACAAGCATCAAGTTCAAGTACAACATTTCTTTTTTCTTCCAAAACAAAACCCAAGCAAAGGGTGGCTGATATGGAATGCTGCACTAAATGGTAAATAATTGTATTTTTATTTTCAGAATAAAAGCCAGGCTGGAAGGCTGGCTTTGCATACCAATGAATACAGAACAAAATAACTACAACAATGATCTTATATATAAGTTTCCTCCGGCCGGATGCATTCCTGCACAGACAGCTCAGTATGGGTAGCAGCGGGTAGGGGCCTTTGCCAAAGCTTCAGTGGGTTGCCAGGGCGGAGGCTGGCGAATCGGATCGTGCCAGTGGTGAACCTCAAACCACAACAGACGGCGCCACACACTTGATCTTCTCATCCACTCCAAACCGACCGAGCACTCGAGCTGCAGGCGGCTTCGCGGGCCACACAGTGATGCGAGGAAAAGCATGAGACAGGGGAGAGAATGGGCGGCGAACCCCTTTTGTTCTGTAAACACACGCATGGCCTTCCTTGAAACAATATCCCTGCACCTAAAAACGGCACGCGGAAAATTACACCTTTTCTTAATCGTAAATTATTGTGTGAGGAAACATTGCAGCGTTTCAATGCTGGTTCTCCCTCTCTGCACAGGATTGATGGTTTTACAAGGTAACGTTTTTAAATGCTACTAATTTAAAAAAAAAACATAAAAGAATTTGTAATGTATAGTTCTGTTTTGGTCTTTTGCTTCTTTTTCACAAATTCTTGGACCAGATCCGGTGCCTGTGTATGACACCATATTGTTAAAGTACATTATATAGGAATATATAATATACAATATATAGGAAGAAAAGCAAGCCTAGAAGAAAAGGCCTTAAAGATGTATCACACTTAAGCGCATCATTCACTCACCTTAAATACCTAAGAAGCTAATTTTTGGTGGTAAAATTCGCTGGTTTGTGTAATAATTCTCGTCCTTCTGGATACAAGGGTAAAGTTATAGTTTTTAATGCAGCACAGTGACCTTGAGCTTTTTTGTGTGTGTCATCTTTAGTGCCGATCACCCACGGTGCAGCGGTACCCTTCTCCATGGCTGACATGCCCAGCCAACCCTACTATCATGACCTGAACCCCAGCGTGGCACTGCAGCGCTCCCTGTCCTCTCCGCCCGGCAGGTTGGTGTGAGTTATTAAAACAAAACACATTTATCAATATGCTTAAGGAATTTTTTATTAAAGAAATCTCTTGTTTATAATTACTTTGTTTGCTATATGCTTAGAAATTGATAACAATTTCCATTCTCAAAAGAAACATAAAACGCTTATTTTCTATGTTGGGAAGTTTAACTTATATGTTTCCTTATTTGCTCAGGTCAATATAGCTTAGATATTTTTTATATATACTGGCCTAGTTTTTCTCATCTTTAAGTTATTTTTAAATAACTCATTTATTTCTGGGACTCAGTTTAAAGCGAAACACATTTTGCTGGTTATCCAAACTAAGTATGATGATTTGCGTGTAAAGCTTATAAAAACATTGAAAGACAATATGCTAAACTAAGCTTAACCAACCTCAGTCATATTCAATAAATTAGAACATCCGCTCTTATGAGGATATTTGTGGCATAAAAGTACTTTTGGAAAATGTGTTTTAAGAATGCATCTCTGTTAAAGCTATTTCTTTAGTCTTGTTTATTTGAATCAGGTTCGTTTTGATATTATCTTTCAGGTTTTTTATATATTATCTTAGCTCAGTCTTTACAATCTCAATTTGTTGTAAATTGGCTAACTTTAGTATTACTTTTATTTTCTGATTTAATTTTAGGTTATTTTAGCATCGTTTATGTTCGCAAATTTTTTCTTGGTTCAGTAGATTTTTCTACATTTAACTTAGTCTTTCTTACTTTATTCTTTTAGGTAGCTGGGAATAATTATACTGTCTTATGATTGTACTTATTTTTAATTAAAACATGCTAATTTAACATAAGTTTTCCTTTGTCATATTTAGTTATCTGTTGTTAGCTTCACTTAGCCTATGTTAGTTTACGTTTATCTGTTTTAGTTTATATTAGTCTATTTTATTATATATGAATGCGACCTAGCTGTTCAGATACCGGTCTCATTTGAAAAGATAAGATTCGTATCGGATTCAGGACCACATAGCCATGTGGCCTGGGTTGCATTGGAAAAAATTGGATCTGTGTTGTTCAGACTGCCTTGAAAAGGTTCATATAAAGATCCAGGTTGCATGTGGGCAAGAAAATTGGATTTGAGTCACTTCAGGCTGCAAGGTGAACGTAGCCTAGTTTGTGGCTGGAGACACAGACTCTGTATTGGGTTAAATAAAGTTTTGACATAGTCATCTTGTCTTTACCTGCATGAGCTGCCCCTAACCACACATGACTCAGAGGCTGTCCAAACATAGCAGGATATCTGGAAAAAACTAAACTTTTTAAAACCGTTTTGCCTTCCAGCCACAGAAAAACAGAGTTAAACGTCCCTTAAAACATATTATCCTAAAAATGGCCTAAGTGAAGATTGTACAAACACAAAGGTTTAGAAGCAAAGTATAAATGAAAAAAAAAAAATTAATGTCCACCACATCATTGTCTGTGACAGCTATTGCTGCCCTGTGTCACACATGTGCAACTATGGTTTTTATACTTGCTCAATGCTGAGTTGCGTATTTCTGCGGGTTGGCGTGGACGAAAACCTTTTTAAAAAAAACCTCCAGTGTTTACCATAAACCAGGGGAGATCTTTTTTTAAAACCCTGCTATGTGTGCATGGGCTGTCAGTGGAAATATCAGGGTAAAGAGCGCTATAGGCATTGTAGTGACAGGGTGGCTACATGAAGGACTGGGTCCAACTGTCCAGATGCAGCTCCCAGTCTCCATTATTGCGTTATAGCAGGAATCATTCAGACCCTGCCTTGGTTGAACACCTGCCTTCATGTTCACCAAATTGCTGCCTTTATGTTTTAACACAGAGCCAACTTTGTCACTATGTCATTGTTGATAAACTTTCAAGCTTTTCAAATTATTCTGGCTTATCCTGTCTACCACCAGATACTCACTGTCATAGGAAATATATTTTTTGCACATCTCATCATGTTATTCTCCCAGTTTAGTTATGCAGTACAGTATGATATTGATAAACTACCTGATTTTATGAGAAATATATTAGAATGTACAAATTTTAGAGCCATTTTTATCCAATTTGAATAAAATCCAATCTTTTTCAACCAGATATCAGTAGTAGAAATATAAATAATTGGTAGAAATACTTGTCAGTACACAATACATCAACCCATTGGGTTGAATGGTCTACATTTTTGTCATTTATTTTTTATGGTAAGATTTTTTATTTTATTACACAGCATTCTGGTCCAACATGTTGGTACATAAGTAAATTGATGCAGTTGTAGATTTTATACATTTAGAAAACATCTGTTATTATCTTCCATAAATTATGCAATTTGTGTTTCAAAAAATTAATGATGACATCAAGGCTTAAACTTAAAACCTATGCGCAGCAAAAGGCCCAAAACCAACATGGAGGAAAACATGGACACCAGCCCCACTGGACCCGATTTCTACTCGTCACCCAACTCACCAGCCAGCCGGGCAAACTGGCACGACAGAGATGGAGGTATTTTTCACAATTTCTTTTACTTCGGTTAATCTAATAGAAAAAGTTTAATGGATAAATTGCAGCTAAACAACAGAGACCAGGAAATGTTTTTCTCATCTGTTTTCATTCATTTTGGATGAACTTGTGTTAATTGTGACCCCAGTTTTCCGTCCTTACTTTATTCAGTGAGATGTTCTGTTGCTTTAATGGTTAACATGCATACTTATGACCCCCTATTTCATTTTTATCATCTCAAACAACTTCCTGCAGAAGAATATTTCCTCTTCTGTTTGACTTATGTTTGAGTCTGATTGTTTATTGTGTTTAGAAACCCCGGCAGTTTATAAAATACCAAGGTCAGACTTCAGGAAGTCCTCTTCAAAATGTCTAGATTCCTAAAAGCACTGAGATGCTGCCTTTTGATTGGCTGATTTGAGATTGGTATTAACAATCAGCTGAACAGGCCTTGCTAATTTAAGTGGACGTTGAGTGGATTGCAGTCCTTTATTATTTCTTTAAAGTGACGGCTTATGGGATCAGAAAAATACTGCCAGTTTGGCTCCGCTGCTGAGAAAAAAAAAAAAAAAGCTTCTCATTGGTAAACCAAAACAAATTAAGTAAACTCTCCAACTTTGACCACTCCTGTTAACCCCTTTGAGTCTATTTAACCCACAGGAGCAGGTAAGAAACATTTGCTTTAATAGGGACATGCATAAAACCACTGGAAACCATCTTTTTTTTTTTCCCTCCCTGCAAGACACACAGTGGTTTTTAGCTCCAGTTTGAACCCAGACCACCTCCTTTTTCTAATTTGATATAATCAGTGGGGAGGCTGCAAGAGGAAAACACCAGATGACACACAGGAGACGCAGCAGTGGTGGGATTCAGCCGCAGCCGCAATGTGGGAACATGAAATTCTAGCGTGTCCCTCTGCGCAAGGCCCGAGAGCATTACACTGCGTAAACTTAGACACTTGGGGTGAGGAGGAAGGGAATGAAGTGGGTAGGAAACTCTCCAAAGACAGCCATTACTCTGTCAAGAGAGAATAAATGAGAAGTGGGCCGATATTAAACCCATATGAGTCCTGTGAAGTGCCAAGGATTTCATTTCTTTCACGTGGTTGATGTTCAGGCTCTGCTAGTGTTCTTGTCTGGGAAAGCACTGAAATGTGGAAGTTTGCTACAAACGAGGGCAAATTATGTTAAACCTGACTAATTAAGTCTAAATAAAATCTTTTGTTAGTATAAATTTATTGCTATAATCGATCGTAATAGTTTATCTCAGCCTTGAAGCTCTTTAAGGTATTTCTCTTTTTTACATGATCATGAAACGCTGCTGGGAGTGGATCCCATCTCCAAACTCAGGATAGGAAAACCCCCTAAACTCCCAACGCCTTTCCATCTTTGAGATAAAGTTTTCCTGTTACTCGTTTGGATCCCTCCCCACCTCTTGTCACTTTAGGGATGGAGGTTAAACAGATTAATATAGCGAATAACGAAATTCAGTGTTTGTAAAACATCTGTTTCTGAGAGAAAAGAGGCGTATGATGTGAAAGTTATACACCCAAACAGTGCGACAGGCAAGAGAAGCACTTCATCATGGTTGAGGCACAAAAAAAGACATAGGCCACTGCCTCTCGGATCTTTGTGTTATCACGTTCCCTTCAGACTCCATGTCTCAGCATGGAAAATTGAAAACCGCGCAGCCGTGACAGCAGAGCGTCGCTCGTAGAAAAAAAAAAAAAGAAGAATAAAATAAAAAATCGTAGAGCCGCAATAATGAGCAGCTGGCTGTTTTCGGTTCAGTTTGTGCACACGCACTGAGCAAACTTCCTAAATAATTTTCAGTTCTTCTGCAGAGCTTTCAGGATTATTGCTGGAGAATTACAGCAGCTTGTCGCAGACGGTTTGTGAAGCAGTGTTGCTTTCTGTTTAAGATTACGTGTAGGTCTTAAAAGTTTTAAATCCTATTTGGGTCACTTTAATCGTCTGGTCTCGTATGATAAAAGACTTGTTTTTTAAGTTATGGAGGAGTTCCGGTGATTTATTATGATTCCTTAAATTGTATGGGACTTTCCCCTCAGGGAAGAGATTATTTTCCAGATGCATTTTTCATTGTGTTCTTTATTTCCTTTTTATTGCATGAAACCCACAGGATCAAATTTTGGCCCATTTTAAACATCTAATTCATGATTAATTTGAGGCATTTGGAAAAGCCTCTCAAGAATTATTTGATTAATTTTTCGGCAATAATCTGAACTCTGTTGCGTCATTTCATGGTTATCAAATCTCTTTGTCTTTTTCCATATGCGTCCAAAAGAAAAACGATCAAACTTGATTTTCAGGGTTCAGGGTTTTGCTGGAAGATTCTAATCATTGGGTTTTTTTGAGGCCTAAATTTTCAAATAGTATTCTATTGCAGCTTTTAAAAAAGCTGAGACTAGCTGATTCTAGTTTTGACCTTTACTGATTCTTTTTGCTCTGACTAGAGCCTATAAGAGTAATAAAGATAAAGATGCCTCCCAGTCTGTTAGAAAGTAAGTTACATCAAATGAACAAAGGGGGGAAAAAAAACGATTTGTCTGCGTTTGACCTGCTAATAAACAACTGGGACCCATCAAAATACTTTAAAGAAATATGGAAATATTGTTTTTATGTTACATGTATGGTTCTGGTTTGCTTTTCTTGTCGACAGAGATGTCCTCTCCCACAATGAAGAAGCCGGAAAAGCCGCTGTTCAGCCCCACTTCCCCACAGGACTCCTCGCCGCGACTCAGCACTTTCTCTCAGCCTCATCACCCAGGCCTATCAGGCGTGGGACACAGTGGTGAGTTAAAAGGACAGTTCTTTCAAAACCTGGAATCTGAATCCGTTTTTTCTTTTTGTTTTTTTTTACATAATTCATAGTAGTGTATCAGAGAATAGGTCCATCCTCACTGCATCTGTTAGCGTTTGGGTGTTGCTATACAAAGCACTAGATTATTGATCTAATGCTACGTTCACCTCCTCTATGAAAGTAGGAATCCATAGCAGAAAGGTTTGTGTTCACCCAATGCTAAGGAGGGGAAAAAAATGCAATTACTTCAGAGACCCAACAGCTGCAGCCCATCTATCAGCGAAGGGCCGTTTGCAAAAATGTTACAGTCCATCACCGGAAAGGAAAAGATGACAAAGAGGACAGCCATCACTTTCCTCTGGATAGGTCTTCTTCTGAGTTCAACCAAAGCTTTGATTGTGCAAACAGCTCAAATTATTTTACTTTACCGATTGAAATTAGACCCAATGGATAGAAGCTTCTCAGAAAGATTTCAAAGAGAGCAATGGTTCTAAATCCTGGTCATCAAATGAAACTTTAGTGCTTGTTTAAGTCTTTCCTTGCTGTTACTTATCTGACATATCCATGAAATATTAACAGGTTTCTGTGGTACTTGATGGCAACTTTGAAAACCATGCAATCATTTGAATATGGTGTGCTGCAACAGAGACATCGGAATTATAAAGGAAGTTGTGCTTGAGGACTAGGATTGAGAATTATTGTTCTAGAGAAGTTATAAATGTAGATCTACAAGTAACTGAACCAAGAAGTAAATACTAGACTAAAGGAGAGTGGCCTTTGTTTTTAAGAAGGATCTGTAATCTAAATAATCTCCATTACAGTCTCTGATTGTTTTTTTTTTGTTTTTTTGTCTTCACAGTTATATCATCCAGGAGCCCCCCTTCACACTCGCCCCTGCAGTTCTCAGCCTCGGCCATCCTGCCCCCGGCACCGTCGCCCTACTTCTCGCACCCCACCATACGGTATCCACCTCACCTCAACCCCGCAGATCCCCTCAAGAGCTACGTGCCATCGTACGACCCGTCCAGCCCGCAGAGCAGCCAGGTCGGTCTCTTTCTGTGTGTCTGAGGGTTTAAGGTATTAGAGTGCGCTTATTTACAGAGCCTGTAGTCTTTGTTCTTTATCTTGTTTGGCTCTGACCTCTAGAGATCGTAGATAAGATAAATTACAGCACCCTGTGTTTCACTAATGCCTTCAAGGTGCACTTGGTAGTTAAGAATATGTTGTGGTTTTGCTTAAATTTCCTACATTAAAATATTTCCAGTTGTTTTTTTCAAAAATATTCACACTTTTTAGTTTAATATGGCTTAAGTGGATAATATATTTCAAGGGGAAGGAAAAATTATGCATTGGCACATAAAGATCTGAAAAAAGGTATAAACATTTCACTCCCTTTACTCTGATGTTGGGATTTAAAGGAGCAGCTAAGAAGCCACTGGTAACTGGAGAAACAGCAAGAGATTCACAGCTCAGGTGGTAGAATCAGCTACTCAAGTTTTTCTGGGTAGATGAGAATCTTACTGAGGTACATTTTCTTAAGGATGGAAGGGGATTTTAGTTCATGATGATTGGAAGATAGTTGCATCTAAAGATAGAAGAAAGTTCACCTTCCAGCAGGACAATAACTTTAAACCTTAGGTTAAACTGTTTAGATAAAAGCACATTCATTTTCTAAGACAGACCAATAAAAGTCCCTTTGCCAATAAAAAATCTGAGGCCCAAATGATGTTTAAGGACTCTCCATCCAGTCTGACTGAAGTTAAGTTTGTCTTACCTTGCAAAGAAGAATGGGCAAAATTATTTAGATGCACAAAGCTTCTAGACCAGGTATGTCCAAAGTCATCCCTTGACGGCGGCCATCCTACAGGTGTAAGAGATTTCTGTGTTTCAGCACAACTTATTACCTTTGATAGCTTGTTAAATGGCATTTGCTGACTCCCATCATCACCATTAGTTGTACTAAAGACGAGAAGCATTGAAAACCTGCAGGACAGCAGTAGAAATGCACCGATCTGATACTTGGATTAGATATCAGGATTTCATATCGAATACCAGGGATCCAATCCAGTTGGCTATTCATGGAATATTTTTCTTTCTTTTTGCTGCTTATTTGTTAAGAAAATACAAAAAGTACATATATATCTTTGTTGATATGTTACCTATTTTTAACTATGTTTATATCAAGGCTGAAGCCTAGAGCCAGCCACCCCACATAAAACTTCAGCTGTACATTTTAGAAACAAATAGATCTATTGAAGTCTGTGTCATTTTTCTTCCACTTCACCATTATTTTTTTTCTGTTGCTCTGTGACACAGAAAATACGTATAAAAGGGAGTAATGTGTAGTAAATAATATCGCAACGTCCTGTCAGTATAATTACTTAAGGACAAACCCTTAAATCCACATTGCAAAGGCTGTTAATCTGCCACAATTTCCACGTGTTATGATAATAAGGCGATTATAGACCTTCAGATGTTTGACTTTTCTATCCGTATATTTTCAGCATGACATAATGCTCTGGGCAAAAGGTTATAATACACTTAGAGCCTTATGTTTGCAGTTAATATAAAGGGGAAACAACAACCGCATGACTCCATAGAAAAAAATAAACACAGCTCTTGCGACTCCAGTCACATGTATGACATGCAAATCCCTATCAGGACTGGACTATAAATCAAACCGTTCTCTGCGTTTTTGTTTTTTTTTCACCAAGCATAGTGCAGGCCAGTGTGCACAGAGACCGAGCTTGGCGTCTCTATAGATCAGAAAGCCGTGTGATATTTATGTGAGTTTTATTTCCCAGCCGTTCTCACTGTAAACAAAAGCCTCGTAGACGGCTCCGTCTCCAGAAGGCTCTGGGTTGGTGGTGGTGGTGTGGTGGTGGTGGTGTTGGGGGGGTGTTACTCTGGAGAAAAACCACGGGGAACGATAAAGGTTGTAAATATTTGCCGTTGCCGGGGCCCTGCTCTTGTGCAGAATTAACTGGCCCTCTGCTGGGGTTCCGGAGAAAGCAGCGGAGAAGAGATGGGGTGAAAACGGAGAGTCTGGAAGACCAGCCAGGGGAGAACAGAGGATAGAAGCGCTGGGTGAGGGGGGGGTGTGTGTGGTTGAGTCTGCAAATAACACAGCGCTTATAATCCCATGGACGAGTGCCAGAATGTTTTATGCTTGCTTTAACGCAGATTATATTACACTCTAATTAAACATTCTATTCAGAGTGAAGGGAACCCTGCCGACTCGATTCTTCTCCAAAAATGCCTGTTTGAGTTTTGAACTCGGGGCGGCCCTGAAGTGAACGGCCCAGACAGTCTCCAGCCGTCTCAAAGACCAGCTCCCAGTTGCTTCCTTTATTCAGTGGTCCCCCCCTTATATATAGTCCCTCTATAGCCCAGCATTCACTCCATTGTAGCGGGTCACTCCGCAGTCCTCGCTGGCTTTTCACGCCCCTCGTCCTCCTAAATTACATTTATGAGCACCATTAAAATCATTGTGAGGAATCGTGTAGGAAATCCATTGTCACTTCCAAACCCCCCCAGACACCCACCCACCTCTGGGTATTAGTAATAACTGTGACAAGGCGAGGATAAAAGGGATAAAATCTTTTAGAGTGAGTGTTTTAGCTGCCTGTAGTTAGTAATGTCATTCTGTTGGGTTACTTAAAAGTATAATCAGAGCAAACTGTTTTGTTGAAGTTTACTGGCATGCTTGTCTTGGCAAATTCAGATCTGAATCAGCTGCAGTTTTACAAGCAGAGCCTGAGCTTGTAACTGTCAGTCATCTCGCACAGGATGTCTCCTTGTGATGTTATTGGTTGTGTTAGCAGACAGGATAGGTTTATGGTCCTGATCCAGCTTTTTAGTTTTAATGGTTAGCACACTCCACCTTCCATCATTAGCTAAATGAAGTCAAAACCAGTAAAAGTTCTACAAAAATGTCCTACTTGAATGTTTTAATCACCAAACAAACCTTGAATATGAACTGTATGAGCTGAGATAAATAGAAAGTGCAGTTATTTCTTGAGCATTGCATCTGGATCCTGGAGGTTCTGAGTTCAACTCCCACAAACTGCCAATATGGGTCCCTGAGCAAGACCCTCAACCCCCAGACTGCTCCCTGGGTGCTGCACAGGGACAGCCCACTGCTCCACAATGGGATGGGTTAAGTTAAAAAAGTGAATTTCTCCATTGTGAGATCAAGAAAGTATTTTTTTTTTCTCCAGAGCTGTTTTAATTCAGCCGTTTTTGAGGGTTTTTCATCATTAATAACCTTTTCAAGGTTCCAGCATCTTAATCAGATTTTGTTTTCCTGAAGACCAGAATTCATGGTTCCATCAGTAACATGAAAGCATCCAGATAATTTTTTCATCCAGATATAACAAGCTGCTTATTTTCCAAAAACAGTTCCACTTTTGCCTCGTAACTAGGAAGAATATTTTTCTCAAAAATCTCAGGGGCCAACAAGATGAGTGAGATCTGTGGGAAATATGACACTGGTGGTTATGACAGAGCTAGGGTTAGAGGGCAAATATTAAAGTAGGGTTCTGTTTATTATCACTGACTCATAGCTGTGTTGTCTGTTGGTCTCTATCTAACATGCAGCCTAACAGCAGTGGTCAGGGGGTTGGAAAGGTTCCGGGCCATTTTACCCCAGTTCTGGCTCCATCCCCGCACCACGGCCCAGTGCGACCAGTTACGCTCACAATGCCTGACACTAAGCCCATCACCACATCTTCAGAGGGTAAGCGCACACCAATCACACCAATCACCTTTGACCTGACACCTTTATTTTTCTATTCAATTTTCTGATTAATGTTCTTGTTTTGTAAAATAGAAATACTAGTCATTGGTTACACAATATCTTATTTTTATGATATTACATGTTCATGTTTTTATTATTATTATTATTTATTCCTATTTTTTTGTTTGTTTGTCTTGTGTACTGCTCAAACGTATTGCCCTGGGTGTGATTGATAAACTTGTGTAAGTATAGGGGGTCAAAGGGATCCCAACATGAGATTAATGATGCGCAAAAAAACCTAAAGACTATAAACATATATGTCTAAAAAGGACAAATTAACCGTCAATGCATTTTTGTCTGTTTTTGTCTATTTTTTATTTGATGCCATTAGATTAAATGCCACTATTTTCCGTATGGTTCCAGAAACAATATTTCTAGTGAATTTCAAACCTAAAGCCTTCATTCATTATTAAGGGAAAACATTACATGTGTAGACAGGAATCAGAAAACTTTATTAGTCCCATAAAGGGCAATTCATTGCAGCAACAACCCGACCAAACACACAGAGAAAACAAAGAGACAAGTATGAGCTGTACCAGTTTACAGATGTATTATACACAGAAACAGCCTGGACTGATAAAGAAAGATCAAACAAATCAACGGCAACGGAAATAACTCACTTAAATTATGTTTTCTATTTGCAGAAGGATGAAAGATTATGAGTAAGAAGTAGTTGTAAATGTAGGCAAATGATAACTCTAAAACCTTGGCCAGAGGGAATCAAACTAAACCATGAAAACAAAAGGTGCCTCTGATCTAAGGCAATGATCTGACCAGCTTTCTTTGTAAAACCGGGCATACGCTGTGCGATATTTTCAATCATTGCACGCAGCTACTGCTCCAACTGTACAACGAAACCGCAAGGTTTAAAAATTAACGGCTGCATGTTCTCACACTGTGCGGCCCGACGCTCTGAAGCAACCTTACGACGGCCGACTGGATTTCAAACATGTTTGATTTTCCCCTGACCTTACCATTCCTGATCGGGAGGTGGAAAGTAGGCCCAATCGAAAAATTCTTATACAACCGGAGAATCAGCCCGATAAGGGAAAAAAAACATACAGCATATGCCCGGCTTTACCCAATTCTCCCAGAGTGACGCCAGTCTCATTGTCCAACACAAGGGATTTTTGAACTTACGTAAACAATATTGTTCAATATTTTTTGCCTCTCCCAGATAATCAGATCAATATGTTAAAAGATGGTAAGAAGACTTTCTATATTGGAGACAAAGAAAACTCTATGAATCCGTATAAAAAACAAAAACTTTTTAGTGATATCTGTGGGGAGGTTTTGTGTCCTGTTTTGCCATTTTAGCTCTCGGAATCGATATCCCAGAGTTTGATATTAGCCGAACAGATTTGCTTTTACAAGAAGACCAATATAATTGATGCCATAAGGTTATCTTTGATACTTGATACAGTATTGAAAATGATTTAGGGAATAAAACTGTAGGCAATGGAGACTGAAAGGGAGGGAAAAAAAACTTATTGTCAAACACAGTTCTAAGTACATGTAAGTCTCAACTGTTTGCATTGGTTAAAGTTCTTAGGGAAAACATTTCACTGACATTAGCAGAAAAACATATATATATAATTTTGTAAAAATCTTCCTACTTCGTTACATCAACTAAAGTGGTTCGGAATGTGAGCCCTGTGGGACTCCTCAAGCTTTTTTTTTAATTTTACATGTAATACTTCCTGTTTATCGTGGCAGATTTCAAATTTTGTCCATTTACTTTCTTTGTTATTGCTTTTATAGTTAAGTGGCGTGATACAATATATTTTACTTATTTTTTTGTTGTAATGACCTATTATACAGGCTACTCAACCCCTGGCACCCCGACATCCAATCGTTTTGTAGGCCTGAGCCCTAGAGATCCAGCCTTTCTCCACCAGCAACAGGTGAGGTCATTTTCTCTGCTACATTATTTAAATAAATATTTCTTCTTCTCCTTATTATTTTTCACTTTTTCTACCTCCCACTGCTGAAATATAAAAATGAGCAGATCTGAACAAACTGGCAGAGCAAATCCAAGAGTTGATACGTAACGAGGCTAAAAGAAACAAAACAAACCAGCTCATCTCCTGTCAAACCATTTTCCCTTTTGATACTGTAAAGATTTATACTTAAAAAAACATTGACTCATGAAATAGTGTGGCTCAGATTTAATAGCGAATGGGAGGAAAAGAAAAAATCCTATTTTTACTCCTTTCACTGAAATACACACAAAGGTGGAGGGTCACTGTCATTTTTCTTCATTCTGTTTCCTTCACACATTAGTTTAGACATTTCTTTAGACAACACACTCCTTTATTTACAAGCTCTTTACAGAAAGGTGGCGTCGTGTTACTGTAGGATGTCCTCGGACAGAAGTGGTATCCCTTTGTGTGTGTTTGTGTTAGAAGCGTTGCAGTTTTGTGGGGGGCTCTTTTTTTTCGCGACGGGAAAGAGAGACTGCTCCCCTCCAACGCGTCTTATTGAAAGAGCTGGTCCGAGGCCAAGGCTTTTCCAACCACAACTAATTGAATGCATCTGCACGCAGCTACATAATGATTGCTGGGTTTCTCTGCAGCTCGTATCTTTGGTAAAAATATCACAAAAACTGGCCTCTTGTTTTCTCACTGTCTGTCTCTTTCCATCTTCCTTTATCTCTCATGATTTTGAAAAATATCTGTATTTATTTAAGATCGGAAAAGATAAGGGGAGTTGTTAGTTTTGTCTGGTTCTGGAAGCTTTTATTTCACTTGGGAGCAGAGGGGGGAGGAGGAAAGGGAGGAATCACTTGGCAGATAACGTACAGTTTGTCTTCCACATTTTCTGGTAGCCGTGTTTTTTGTGGGCCATGAAGCGAGCTCCGAACACAGCCGTGATCTGAGTGCAGCTGCTGAATTTAGTCCAAAGACTTGCTCTCAGACTTGATAAAAGCCCATATTTTTAAAAGCGTGGATAAGCCAAGGTATATAAATATCTCCTCCAATGAAATACGGCAGTAGTTATTCAAGGCCCAACAGAAACGGTCATATCCTTAAAGGCAGTTTGGGAAATAATGGCTTTTACTCAAAAATGTAATGATTACAACTCTGCTGAAGATTATTAGACAACGTTTCTTGAGGTTTTTCCCAGTGACTCATCTTTGTCTCTGTTTTGGTCTAATTTAAAGGCCTGGACTTTGGCCTCCTAGAGACAAGAAAAAAAAAAAAAAGGAGACTCAATCAGAGCCAAGTCTCTCAAGACTAAACAGTTTCTCAAAATACTCCGTCATTGTCCTCATCTGGCAAGGGTTTGTTTATTGTGTTGAGTCCAGGAGGTTTTTGCACTTTGAGGTGATAAATTGTGAGCATTTGTTGGTAGCACTGGGCCTCGTCTGCTCTTTGTAGTAAAAGATTTGCACAGACATTAGATATCCTTTAGATTTGGAAATAAAATAAACTTAATGTAATAAAATAAAATAATATTATTATTAGCACCCGGCGAAGACATTCATACCCCTCAGACTTTAAAATTTTAAAAAGTATCTTTTCCATTTTACATAAATAATTAAGATAAAGTCCAGCATAGTGGAAGTGGAGGGAAAAAAATATTTTTATTTTATTTTAATATTTTCTGCGAAGAATCTTAAAAGTGTGACTTACAATTGAATTTTGGCCCCATGCATGTGAATAAAGGCATCAGGACGGCATGACGCTCCCTCCATTTTCCCCTTTCTGTTTTGTAGGTATTAGGTTCCTGTGCTGAACATAGCTCCATGAAATGTTCAGAAATTGGGGTGTTATTTTATCACCTTACCGCTATTTCAACTTCTCCTCGTCTGTCCCCGAGATATCCAGGGTGTTCTTCATTCTGCATGATACTACTGTGCGTTTTTAAACCTCTGAGGCCTTCATAGAGGAGCTCGATTTATACTGCGGTCAGATTATACAGAGGCGGGCCATGTTTACTCATTAGAACAAAGCTGTTCGTTTTGAATTTTATTCTGCGGTACTAAAACAATTAAAAAAAACAGAAGGTACAATAGAAAATTAGCAGATTTTGATTTGATTTTGTTGAAATTCATGGTTTATTATACATTTTCTGATTCATAATTATGTTTGTGGTTGTCTAAACTCTTAACCTCGTGTTAGAATTTATAAGCATATTAACTAACCCCACAAAAAAACAACAAAAACAAAACAACAACACACGCTCCCACACCTGCTCCATGAGTCCCAGGCAAGGAGCGTGTGAAAACCCCTCCATTCATCTCCCGCCTTGGTTAACCCCTCAAGGGAATGCCACCATGGAGCATTCCACAGGGAGAGATCTGTGATCAGATGTCATTTGGTATTATCTAAGGAAGGATCCTAATCCACAATCTGCCCGCATCTGTTTGCTAACGTTCCCCTGCTCCGTCCCCCCTTTTTTCTTCTTCTTCTTCTCCCCTGCTGCCCTGCACCGCCGCTCTGATGTGTTGGTGCCAGCGGACAGATGGCGAGCCCCTCGAGGAGCAGTGGGCACGGAGCATCTGGCTCTGCCTGCATGTCCTCCCCAAGCTTTTGTCAAGGCTGCCGAGTGCGAGAACGGGGGGGGTTCACGTTCCCAACCTCCCAAAAACAAAAAACACCCTTAATGGAGCAAGTTTTCATTGTTTTCTGATTGGTTTTCCCCAGCAGCTGTTGATTAAAGGGACACATTTAAAGGCACACTGCTACGGTTTTTTTTTTTGTTTGTTTTTTTTAGCATTTAGCTCTATAAAAGTCTGAAGATGTGGAGAAAATTCTCCCTGAATAAAATAAATAAACTATCCAGGTGCAAGTAGAAGGAGAGAAAAAAATAAGAGCACATTTCTTGACCGCTGCAAATGGCTCTGAATATTCAGCGTCTTTCTGATTAAATCTCTCTTAAGTGCCTCTGCGGAACGTCTGCCGCTGCACACAGAGTGCTAACGGTGCACTTTTTATCCCGATGCATTACTAAATGAATGTGTTGACCACAGGGCAAGGTTAGGTTGGTGTTTGGCAGGGATAGCTCTCAGCTGGATTGCAGACACGTGCGGCCGCATAATGCATGCGGAGGAGACGACGAGGGCCGTGCGTGTGGCTTTTATGTTGCAGTAATTTGTAATCTGTATGTAAGGTTGGTGTGTTTTGAAATGCAGGATGAAGAAAGAGTGGGAAGGGGGGGTTAGTGTGAGTCTGAGTGTGTGTGTGGTTTAACTTCATTGCACTGTGACCCTAAATCAATAAAAACAGTTAGCTAATGAAAAAATAAAGTCTGCATGCTGGAGGGCATGCGCACTCCTTCCTGAATTGAAGAGAGTACTTCACTGTAGTTATGGACCGCAGGATGCATGCATTGAACGTGTTACACGGCTTCAGCAGGTGGAAAATACAGCAACTGCTCACCGATGAAACACAGTGCCTTGCGAATCAAACCGTACACTTCTCCACTTTTTGTCACATTACAGCCACAAGCTTTGCTTTATCTTATCTATTTGGTAAACCAACACAAAACTGTGTAAAATTGTGAAAAGGAAAGCAATTCCTTTACAGCTTTCAAAATGGTTTCCAAAGGCAATAAAAAGAAAAAAACGTGGGATGGATTTACGTTTGGACTTTTTCACTCTGATATCATTACACAAAATCAAATGCAAGCAATTAATCTCAGGAGTGATCTAGTTACTAAACACATCTTTCTCTTAGTATAAATCCGGCTGTATTGCAAAGGCCTCAGGACAGAGAAAATTAGTAAGAGAAAACAAAACAGCATTGCGATGATCCCAAGAGGACAAAGATGTGGAGAAGTTTAAAGCTCATGTATAAAACAAGATCCCAAGGTTTGTAAATCTTACGGAGCACTGTTTAATCCCTCATATAAAGATGGAAGGAGTATGGCTTCATTTCAAACCATTTCAAACCAGAACACTTAAATCACAGGCTAGGCATGGAGAGCATTAATCAAAGAAAAAACAGCCACCCGGCGACAGTTATTGATCTACTCTACAATTCTCACTAGAGTGGCAAGAATAAGAGCCATTTGTGAAGGAATGTCATAAGAAATCCTGTTAAAAGTTGTGTTTTGGACTTGGCTAAAGTTATTGTTCCTGATCATTTTGGACTTAAACAGAAATAAATGGGTAGATGTAGTGGAAATATTACACCTGAACGCAACATACCTGCTGTGGAGCACATTGCCAGATATAGAAATAGTGATCTACTGTAGAAGACAGGGAATAAGAAAGATGGAGCAAAAAGCAGGACGGTCCTGGAACAAAATGCATTTGAGGAGTTATAAGGAGAGCCCAGTTTAGAGTCCAGAGTGAAATCCAATTCAAACCTATAATAGCTCTTCAGAACCGTTTCTCCCTATTAAAACTGGCCGAGCTTGAAAAAGTTTGCAAAGTGACACAAGAGACAGAAGTTGGTTGAAAAGTGAGAAAAGGTCCCTCTGAAAAGTATGGAGCTGCTAAATAAAAACTCACTCTTTAGAAAAAAGTTGAAATCCCAGCATAGTTACCTTTCAATTCACAATTGTGCACTACTTTGTGTTGGGCATTCATATTAAAAACACCAACCTCAAAATGTGGAACGGTTCAAATGGATTTGAATACTTTCATAGGGAGCTGTTTAAAGATGCCACTCACATCCTTTAACCAACTAATTTCATTATTTTAATCAACTTTTGCTTAACTTCCAGGTTAGCTGCTGCCACTAACTCTTAAATGCATGCTTTACTTTCTTCATGTCTGCTCTTAATTGACTCTAGTCCCTAAATCACTTAGTTATATAAAAAAAACATTCTATTCTTAAGTCCTGCCGTAGATGATCCTGCATGCTTTTTGTGTATACAGTGTTGAGTTGTAGTGTAATCTGAAGTGGAAGTTGTCTTGGCCTCGTGATCTGACCGCTAGGTTTCAATTGACAGCTGAGGAAGTGTGACTGGAGCGTGACTCAAAACGGCAGGCATTATGGCCCCAGTGCCACTGACGACACTTTGGGGATTACTTGGCAAAGGTAACCTTTTCGTTCTTTTCATCTGCCATCTCTCTTATATCTCACATATCACATGTATTTACACTTTTACCCTTTGGATTTAATGTGTGCTCTTTATTTTCTGACATTCACATATAAAATAACGTAGAAACAAAAGTGGTCATTCTGGTCAGGAGTTGTAGCTTCTATTAATGCTGCAATTACTGCATTCATTTCTTCGACTAAAAAATAGTTATCACCTTTATAATGTCTTTTATTTCCTCCTTTCTCCCTTTTTTGTTGTTCAAAGTCTTCCCTGCGATTATTAAATACCTGCTCCCTGTTGAGTCATGTTTAGTAATGCATTACTCAGGCTTTTATTGGTGATAAAGTATTTTAGTTTTTTTTTTTTTTTTTTAGATGACCATTTCAACCATAGCACATTGGAAACTCACCTGTATAAACTTTGCTCTAGTGAGTGAATGCAATCATTAAACATAAAAGATAGAAAGTACAGCGTGTTCCTTTTTGGAAACTACTTAATCATAGAACATGCAGTGCTTCAGGTTTGAGTTCAACTGGATATGAAGGCGCTGGAAGATCATTCCTATTGATGCATCAAAGCATACACTTACTGTAGGTGGACTGATACAGATTATATTGACATCAGTCTAAACAATTCCTAATATGTTTTGCTTTATTGTGCAATAAAAGCAGTTTGTTCTTCCTCATTTTACATGATAAAGATGATAAATGAATAATAAAAATAAAGATAACTTCATGCAGTGGCAGATACCAATACAAAAAAAAAAAAAAAAAGATGCTAATAACGTCTGACTGATGTGTGGGTCTACCTGTTATTAAGACTTCTGGTTAAAAAAAAAGAGGTAAAAAGCCTTGAAATGAGTCTCTGCAGTAGTATTATCTCTTCAACCTTTAATTTGCATGCATTTATTTTGCAGGTATAATGTCAAGAATTGTGTTTTTAACAAACTTGCACGCCATTCATCTGCATTCCCAATAATGCCTTTTAAATCAGGCATCCCCAAAGTCGGTCCTGGAGGGCCGCTGTCCTGCAGGTTTTAGAGGCTTCCCTGCTCCAGCACAGCTGAGTTTCATTGATGGCTGATTAACAGGCTTTTGTTGAACTGCAATCAGAATCAGCTGTGATCAGCCAAAAAAAAACCTTTAAAACCTGCTGGACAGCGGCCCTCGAGTACCGACCATGGGCATGCCTGCATTAAATAAACACAACTCAAGCTTTTTGAAATCCTTATTTACCTTTTTTAAAGTTTCTCCAACTTTCTCTAAACTTAAAAAAAAACATCTAAAGCCATGTGAATCTTGTTAGAGTGCCCACCATGATGGTATCTTGCAGTGAAGTAAAAATGTAACAATCCAGATCTTATGGCCAAATCATCAATAAAATGGTTCAGCAAACACAAAAAAGACAAAATTTTTTCATGGCGCCTCAGTCCACAGATCCTAATGCTGTAGAAAAAGTGTTCAGTGAACTAAGGAGAAGAGAACCTGAGAGAATCCAGGACTCTGGAGGCTCTGGAGGCAGGATCAAAGGTCCCTCTCCATAGATGCTCTGACTGTGTGAGATGTAACAGGAGAAGATTAAGTGCTGACCTATTGGCACATGTGGGCTGTAGATAGTATTAACAGCAGGGGTGCCAATAATTCTGCCACTGTTGATTTGGGGAAAAGTCATTATTTCTTATGTCTTTGGATATTTTTACCTCATGAGTAGCTGCACTTTAATTTATTTTTGAAAGCTTTTCACTCATTTATAATGGGGAGCACATTAAATGCAGCTGGTATTGAATTACCCTAACCTTTATTAGAACTTTTAATGAACATAATGATTCAATGAAGAACATGTTGATGTGTTTACCCAGCAAAATGCAAATATACTGCTTTAAAAAAATATGTTTTGATGTATATATTGCACGATAATTTAAATTCATTGTACATTTTTTAGGTTTTCCTAAAGATTCCTCCCTTAAAATAGTATTAGGTCATGATTGTAGCCCCGTGGGAACCATCTAGTCTTTGCTTAAACTTCACTCATGCTTTTTTATGTTTAACTTAAAGGTACGGATCGTCTCCTCCATCTTGTTTCCACTCTGTTTCTCTTTCTCGTCTCTTGAGGGGGTAAAGAAATCCTGAAACGTTTTCAGCATGGGAGAGCAGGCGAGCTGAGCTCAGCTTTTTCCTTATTCCTTCTACCTCTTTTCCCCCCTGGATATGCATACCTGTCTGTTTGTGTGTGTATTGGGGATGCTGTGTCGGGGAGTGTGTGTACAGGTCAGTTTGCAGTTGGTGAAGTTATAAACACAAATGCACTGCACAGACCCCCTCAAAAGGCCTCTTAATAGCTGGGTAGAGGTAACATAGTGAAATGCCTCCTCTCCTTTTTTTCCACTCTCCCTCCATGTGACTGTACAGTACAGTAATGAGCACAAATAAAGCAACTGGATTTAGCTTATTTTATTACAGGGACTAAATGATAATTCTATTATATTCCTCCCTCTGTTGGTGGATTATGTACGCCGGGCTGTTCAACCCATATAGCTGGAATCCATTGGATTTCCCTTTTATCTGCCTTGCCCTTTAAACTGAGCGCGTCTCCTCAGCACCGTAGCGTCCAAATTAAAAAAAGCCGGCAGACTTGCATGTTGCCATTGTGCAGGAAATGGGTCAGCAATCCATTAAGATGCCATTAGATAATCTAATTTACTGAGCTAATCCTTAAACGAAGCTCGCTGTACGGCCAGGCTGTGCTTTGCAGGAAGCAGATTCGGGGAAAGGTTCGTAGAGGTAGTAAGGCCTCCTTAAAGGTTACCTGAGTAAATGCAAACATGGGGGGTCAGGTTACTTTAGTGCAGGGAGATCATGCATAGAGGATAATTATTAAGAATTAGAGCTGTGTTAGTGCACTTTGATAATACAGTATGAGGGGGAGGAATTGCAATAAAAGTAAATGAAACTAAAGCAAACCCATTCAATCATTTTCTCAATGTCCTTTTATTCTATTGCTACACAGCATTTATTTTGGACTTTTTGCGACACACACCAATGAGACAAAGTGCATAACTGATGGAAATTGAAATAAAAAAACCTGAAAAGTGCGGTGTACATTTTGAAATGAGCCCTAACTGCATCGTGTAGCAGTTGGCTTTGGAAATTTAGTTGGTAAATAATGCGTTTTTGTGTTGTTATTTTAAATCTAGCTGTTTTTTTAAGGTGTTTTTTAGAGAACAGTTGTTAAAACTGGCAAGAAAAAAGCTTTTATTGGACAGAAAAAAACAAAACAACGTATCAAAAGTTGCCTGACACCATGTCAGGGACAGCAATATGTAGAGGAGGGTTCTCTGGTCGAACAAGACTATATGTTAACTTTCTAACGTGCAACATGCTACAAATGGAGTAAAAAAAACAAACACACTAAAACACACCCCGGGGGTCCCTACACAAAGCTATAAGTAGGGTTTTCTTCAGCTGGGACAGCATGACAGGGATTTAGTGGTGGAAGAACATCTGTAAGAAGCCACAAAGATTGGGGCAGAGGTTCCCCTTCCAGCAGGAGGACCCCAGAGATGCAACCTGACAGTCTGAACAAGTTTAATAATAACTTTTCTAAAGCGCTGTACAAGTGGTTCAGCTTTAGTCTACAGGATGCAGATACACCCTGACAGCCGTCGATTTTAATGAGATTAAAAACGATTTGCACACAAAGACCCACAAGTGCCCTTTTGTAGCTGTGTGGTCTCCCCCACCCCCTTTTAATGTAAGCCATTACATTAAAGGAGTTTCATAAGGAAAGAGAAGCAGAAAGAGCAGGAAGAGAGAAAGAGAGCTGCAGCCCTCTGGCTCGCTCAGTGCGCTCTTTGTTTGGCAAGGTAGGAAAAATATAATCCCTGGTTTCCTGTCCGATGATTTTTGGCAGGGCTGGAGGAGAGCGGGAAGGAGGGAGGGAAGAAAGCAGGAGTAGAAAGGTTGGTCAGAGAGGAGGAAAAAAAAAACTGTTTGAGGATTAGCCTTCAAGTCTTTTTATTTAACTCTTTGCAAGCTGGAATGTAACAGAACTCCTGTGAATTTATTTTATTTTTTTGTTTTGGACACAACTCCTGCTTTCGTCTTTCCAGCTTTTCATTGCTCGTTCAGGCAGCTGGTGTTTTCACGCCTTGGGGTGAATTAAATTTGCACTCTCTTTGTTTTATCCATAAGAACTGTGACTAGTGATTTATGTAAAACTCAGACTGGCTGAAGAGTCGCGTTCATGGGAGTCTCCGTCCTCCATCCTTAAATGTTTTATTCTTGAAACTCAGAATCTGCATCGCAGGTATAAGCACATAAGCAAGGGTGTTGCGTTGTTATACACCGAGGTCTGTGAGGAAGAAAAGGATAGTGAAGGGGATGAGGAGGAGAAGGGGGGGAGGCTAATTATCTGACATCTACGCAGCGCTGCACCCCTCAGGAACAACATGCTGCTTGTTCCCGTTTGCGTTTTCAGTTAGCACCGTTGCTCCGCCGGAACAATCACCGTGTTGTTTTGCCATTAGCGTGAGATGAATAGGGATGGGACAGCTTTGTGTGAGGACCCCCACTCTTTTTTTTCTTACCCCCTCCTCTTCTATGCAGTGACGTGGGCCCTGCATCACGGCCCTCTCACATGATCTCCAATCAACCCAGCAGACACCAGTTGTGTCATCTCTAGGCATGTGCTGGTATATGATTCTCACAGTATTGGTCTAAGTAGACCTATAGACAAGGGATACATTACTACGTTTGGTTTCTGTGAATAAGAAGTGAAGAGATTTCAAGAACCATTTGATCAAAACTCAAAAAATTTTGGCTAAATTAAGGTGGTTGTAGTGCTGACAAGTCTAAAATTTTCTCTTTTTTTATGTTTTAACATTTGGTTGAACAATCTAACGAGATTGGTGAATGCATTCTTTATTTTTAGTCTGATAAATAAAATTGAAACCATTTTGTAGCCTAAAAAAGCAAGGTCAGAACCAAACGCAACCATCTGTGCCTTAAAATAAACACCATAAACAATCATCACTGTTAAACATGGTGGTTGCAGCGTCATCCTGTGGGGATTGATTTTCTTCTTCAGGAAAGGGGAAGCTAGTTGAAGGTGAATGGATGTAATATGGAAAACAAATATACTAACTAGCTGATGCAAGCCAGCCAACGGTTAGGCTAAAGCCTGCCGTTTGTTAAGAGTTTAGAATAACTTCCTTTAACAGATCAGTTTTTTGGTCCAGATCAATCATAATAGCTAATGTTGCTTTCTGAGCAAATACATTCCCAGCCTCTGATCCATAAATTAAGAAATATGTGAAAAGATTTAGGCAAATTTAGTAATTTTACTTGCCGTCATCGTGCTAACTTTGAAGTAACTGCCATTCCTACCAAATTGATTGCCACAAATAATTGTGGCTATATTGACAACATAACACCGGTCTTTGTCACATTATTACCATAAAGGATTTTCTTTCATACAATAACTGTTGGCTACTATATTTAAATTATAATGGGTTCGCATTTTTTATGGAAATGCAACATGAAGCATAGATGGTGTGTTAATTAATTATTCATTTTATTAATAATATTGCCATCGCAAGATGTTCTAATAATGTTCAAGCATAGCAGCAATTTCTTCCATGTTTTTTCTGCTTGGCTTATGAAATGCGCTTTTTTTATGCACAACATAAAAGATGTATGTATGTAGCGGCAGATGGCCGCTCACACTGAGCCTGGTTCTGCTGGAGGTTTCTTCCTGTTAAAAGGAGTTTTTCCTCTCCACTGTCGCTACAAGCATGCTTAGTGTGAGCGATCGGATTTGAGTCAATGAGTCGATGTAATCAACTGGTTTTCCTTAGATAGAAAACATTGAATCAATTTGACTGTATGATCTGGTTGAATTGTAAAGTGCCTTGAGACATCATGTGTTGTGAATTGGCGCTATAGAAATAAACTGAATTGAATTGAAATTGAATTATTTTGGAAATGTCGTTCGGCTGACTGGCAGTGTACACAGAAAGGTGAGGATAGGTGCAGCTCTACTTTATTTCAATTACTCCAAGGTTTTCAGTGGAAATTATTAAAAAGACTTGAAGGAGGTGGATGATTAACCAATGCTACTTGAAACCCTGTTTCTGGCCCATTTGTTCTCATCTTTGTCTTTTTTTTTTTAACAAATCTTGATTTCTGCTATTAACAATAATTAGATAGATCTGTAATAATAAGCTCCTTAACATTTCTGCCCATATGTTTTTTTTGTGTTTTCAGTCCTGGTACCTGGGCGAGCTTAGTTCCATTCCAAGTGTCGAACGGGACTCCGATTCTGCCAACAAATGTCCACCAGAACTACAGCATAAACATCATTGGTGAACCGCTGGTCCCTGCTGAGAGCGGGAACTGAGCAGGCAGAGCGCTGGACCCACCTCCTCCCTTACCCAGGGTGGAAGAGTGGTGGAGAGCTAGCACTACAGGTGTCTGCAGCCATGGATGAAACCAGCAAAGCAGCAGGCGCTGCATAAACCCCTCCTCCTCATCCCATCTCCTTTTCTTCAGCCTCCTACTCCCAGTCTCGCCTCCTCCATCTTCTCGCTCCCACTCCTCATCCTCCTGATGATGATGGACAATGGCCCTGAAGTGAAGATGATGAGTGGGACGGCTCAGAGGAAGGAAGAAAAGCTTCAGGTCTGATGTCTTCTCGCACACATCCACCAACCCACCCACCAATCAGTTGTTGCGTTTGCAGGACTTTGTTCAATCCATCTGAATACTGTGATGTATAGATGCCTTAATGTTTAATTGCATGACACTCTAGACTCTTTAGCCGTAATTCCTACTTATTGTTCTACGTCAGAGGAAGGTGAAAACCATTTTGAACGGCCCACGCCGCATGCACGCTCAGTCGAAGGGGTTCTGCAGACAAATACCTGCCTGGTGGATGGCTCAGAGACTGAACGGATGAACGATTCACTGTGTACACCGTAGGAACAAAAACATGAAAAAAAATTGTGAATTCAGAGTGTTTTTTTTTCTTCTTCCGTTTGATTTCAGTTTACTGTGATATGACTTTGTTTTTAAGGAAAAAAAATGTGTTGACTTTCTCTTTTCTGCTACTTATTTCAAGAACTAATGTAAACACTATGGAGAGAGTTAAAAACTCTCAATGCAGTTTTTGAAAAAAACAAAACACTAAATGCTTACAGTTTGAGATTTGACCCCTCCTTGTGAAAAAAAAGATGACTAGCAAGTCAGTTTCAAAAGGAATGTAATAATAAGAGGATGAGGAAAAAAAAGAAGAAAATTTGCGACAGAGGCAAGTGCAATTGAATTGTTTTTTTGAAGGGAAGCTATCAGTCTGACTGCCCTAAGACTCTAAAGGAAGGGGGATAGTTATTAAATGTTTAACAATTTGATTTCAGTCACATATCCATCTCTTCGCATGAGTAAAAAGCGTGAAAGGCAGTTTGAAGGCAAGCGTAAAGCTACCTGAGCAGCAGAAAAAAAAAAAAAAAAACAGCACTTAATCTGATCTGAGCACTTCCCATCTTGATGGGCATTTATTTTTTCTTAATCAATCTAAAACAAGTCAAAAAAAGAACACGCACAGAGTGTGCGGAAAAGAGGCATTTAGTTTCAATTAAAAAGCATTTGGCCATCAGCTTATAAAGCTTATGTGTACAGTTATTATCCATGCAAATGTACTGTAATCTTCATGGATAAAGCTACAGCTTGTGCAAGGTATACTCTAAAGTGAAAGAGGCTAAAAACTGAAATTATGAATCCAGGTGGCATATCCCCGAAATCAAGATCTCTGCATGGCAATCCCACAGCTGTGTCCCCTCCAGTCCAGACACATGAAACCCCCATACACATGCACACACACACACACACACACACGAGAAAAGAAAAATCTCTCCAATACTCCTAATTTTGCACGAAGACCTATAGTCCACATTACGTGCCTTGCCTTTGAATATAGAGACATCACTACAGTTGTTTTTGCTGCATTTATCATTATAGAGAGAGAAAAAGAAAATTAAAATTTTTATGATAAGAATTGTTTTGTACTTTGAATGAAACTGTTGATTTTTAACTTCATGTACTACTCTATCTCACAGTTACATTGCATATCAAGGCTGTGTATAGTTGCCGTTTTTCAGTTTGTAATCTACCAGCATTTTTTTGCAGTATTTTTGTGGTTTTTTTCCGAATAACCTTTCATCCTTTGTTTTCTTCCATTTTCAATGCTCATTTCATTCATCTTCTCGTTACTATTGTGGAGGGTGGAATTCAGAAATATGAAAATTATGCAATACCAAGTTTTGCCTATGTAGGTAGTGCTTATAGATGTGTCAATTATTAGAGGCTAGTTTGGAGATAGAAAATATGGTAATGCATTTATTTTGTTGATATTGTCCGTCGCTGTTGCTGTTGATGATGTTGTTGTTGTTGTGGGTGATTTCCCTTTCTTTTTTTTTCTTTCTTTTTTAATTGACCAAAGTGGGGACTGCTTTCTATGCAGTGTAAGGCAAGGTCAGATTTTTTTTCTTTTCTTCCAGCATTTACCGAATGACAGTGAGACATTTTCTGTGTGATATATTTTTCTTTTTTGGAAAAGGGTGAAGATTTTCTAGATGTATAACAAAATTTAAATGCATCATTTAGGTCTTATTACGGCTGCAAAGTCACTATTTAGTCTACTGTGAGCAAGCATGACTCCGTTACCCTAATCAAGGTTTTTAAGTTATCTTTAAAAAAAAAAAAACAAAATCAGTAAAATTGTTTTAAAGGTTTAAGTTTTTTTTTTTTTTTAACAATAAACATAGAAGTCAGCAGTTTATCTCCTGGTGTAAGAAGTGAAGAAAGGCACGGCACTACTAGCTAAATATGAATAACATAGTCACAAAATGGTAACTGATGTCGAACCTTGTGACTTTTATTAAATTTAAACCTTGAAGCAAGAAATAACGAGTGATTAACCAGCTAATATTAGCTTTTAATACTTCAAGTTTGGTTTTAAGAAGAACAAACTGAAAAAAAAAAAGAATTATCAGTAATATTCTGTCCGTTAAACACTTAACAATGGATATAACTACCACTAAAATTAGAAGGTACTTTCTCTGAATTATTACTTCAGTTTATTATGTAGAAAAATAATGCAAAATAGATTTGTAGCCAGTTAGATAAAGGCTGCAACTTTTTCTATTGTATATGAGGAGGAGAAAGTCAGCTTTTAAATATAAAAATATTTGGACAGTCATTTAAAAGAACATTTAGCGTGCAAATTTATCTTATAATTCTAGTCTTTTTTTTTCTTTTTTACACTATAATTGGAAAGCTAATAGCAGTCACTCATCATTTTTATACAGAAAGACATTATAAAATGTTCTCTATTACAGTTATTTACTTGTGAACTACATTTTTATCAGTATTTCTAAATTTTCCTCAAATTTAAATTTTTTTTTTTTTTACTAAACTCATTGCCAGCCCAAACCTAATCATGACTCTCTCTCTCAAGTATACACCTGGGGTGTTAGCATGTTACCTATGAAAAGGAGCTCATTATATTTCACAGGAGAGACGGCTTGACTTGAGCGCGACAATCATTTAAGGAGACCATTTTTATTCCTGTAGATAACCGGGCAGACTTAGATCCCAGAGGGCTTCGGCCCCACGCCCTCTGTGTTTTTTTTCTTATTTTGGGAGACGCCAGCCGCACGCAATTTCCGGAAAGATGCCTTAACGAACACATCAGTAAAGTGGCCTGTGACCTGCGCAACAATCACACACCGACTAATGCTAGTGAGACCTGTCCAAATCAGTTCCAGACAGGCTCAGGCAAGCCTTTAGAGAGTATTTTATACCTAGTAGATTTGTATAAATGTATATAAATGATGTGCACACATACTCCCCTTGCAGAACCAGTAAAAGTGTGTTAATACAATTATCGGATTAGAAAAGAATGTTGTTATAATTGCCGACTTAGTAAAATCCATTAGATAAGAAAATATTTATAGCACTTAAATATAGCACATAGGCAATCATCTTCTCCCCAGTGCAGTGTTCAGAAGTCTCAATCTAATTCTCAGGCATATTACAGGGCATTATATATATATCAATCATACCATCGTTAATGTAGAAATTAGAGTTTTTCTCTTAGAGAAACAGCACCTCTTTTGCACTCTTTCCCTACAATCGTGAAAGAAATATTCCCTTTTTCGGAGGGGGGGTGGGTTTCCCCAAGCTCCCTCCAGTGTCAGCAGTTGCAAAATGATCCTCAAGTCAAGCTCAAGCTCTTCGTCTTCACCCCGATTTGTTGCATAGGCGAAAAAATTATTTTATTTTTTACAAAGTCTCCGTGTACGCTGTTCTGTCTTGTTTGTTTTTATTTACAAAAAAAAAAAAAGTGCTTTGCAGCCTTCAGCCATCAGTGACCCACTGAAGTGCATTGTCCCCAAGTGTGATTGTTTGTGTGCTGTGTGTGTGTGAGCCGGGAAACCTGTCAGTGTTCAGTAAAAATGGGAGACTGTACATAAAGGGAAATATCCTGATCATGTTGCAAGCTGTAGTCCAGTGGGGTTAAACTCTGCTTTTGCAGCTGAAGTGTGCATGCAATTGGACGTTGTGCGATTGACTGCTTCTGACATTACAGAACAAGAGAAGATGAGGGTGTTTTTGGTAAAAAAAACAACAAAAAAAATTCTTTAAAGATCCTGCCATTGGACAGGTGTTTGTACACTGTAAACTTTGTGGGGAGATCTTCTCTGAAGGTCTTGTTTGTAAATCTTCATTTCTGGGGGGAAAAAACAAGTCAATTCCATTTTAGGAAAATAAATAATTAGTATTTTAGTTTTTTTTATTTTATTTTAGATGCTGGATTTGAGTTAGAACTCTCCAGATTACCCCAAATAGCAAACTCTAAAAGTGTTTTCATCATGTTTGAATTCCTGTATGTAAAAAAAAAAAAACAAAAAAACAAAAAAAAGAATAAATGTGGTGGGTTTGGAGAGGTGGGAGATCCGAAAGAATAAAGAACAACAATGAAGGTTTTTTTTTATTATTATTATTGCCGTTATTAATGTTATTATTTCTCATTATTCCTAGTGCTTAGATATTACGATTTTTTGCGGGAAAAAACTCCTTGAATATTTGAATTGTAAGTTCATTAGCGTGGCCATAGTAAGTGTGATGTGATGTTTCTCAGAAATAGTCATTTGTTTCTTTCCTCCATCCTGTCTTTTTATTTCTCAGTTTAGTTAACTTTGTTTTTTTTCTTCTCAATATTAATGTAAATTCTTGTCCAACAAGCTAGTGGTGTGAATATTCATTGTAGCAGCTGGAAGGTGATGCCACAGAAACCAGTAAAAAGCGAACCAAAAAAAAAAAAGAAGAAAATGCTAGCAGCTGGTCATTTCATCCCTTTTGCCATTTTGGTTGTTTTGAACCTTAGTTTAATGGGGAAAAATCTCAAGAACATAAAGTGTCAGTTTCTTTTCACCTAACACCTTTTTAGTTTTATACCCATATAAAGTTAATCAAAAGCCTGAGCCAGTGATATAGCAAACTAGTTAAAGTTAAAAGCAGAGACACACACGGTAAACTCTCAGGGATTAGTAATCTAACCCTTGGCAGTTTAAACCACATGACTTCAAAGTGAAAAATATGGCGTTATTTTAATTTATGTATTGATAAGCAGCTCTCAGTCAGAGTAAGTGCAAAAATATTATTGCGAATTTAGCAGTTATTCCCCCCCATTTTCAAGACTATTCCTCTGTGTTTAAAATGTTTAGTTTACAGGTATTAAATGGTGGCAAGAAGGAACACAATTGTGATGTATGTGAAAAAATAAGGGTATAAAGTGTGAAACTGACATACATTTTTTTATTTTTCGGAGATTCATTGTTGAAAATAAAAAAACCAGAACATCCAGTTGTAGTTGGCTACAAAAGGACCAAAACTGCAAAAGTAGGAGTTAAAATGCCAGTGCTCTAATTTAATCTAATTGGCCAATTTGTTGTTGAATGAAATAGATCTTCCTTATGAGAAACTTCTAAAAGATCGCCATTTCCACAGCTTACATGTTGCACTTTTCAGATGCTTGATGTAGTATAGTGAAACTCTCCTTTTATGCTACAAACTTTATTCAGATTAAAGGTGCTTCACTTTGAGGGTACTTTTCTTTTCCAGCTGACATCTTTTTTTTTTTTAGGTTAAATGTCAAAAATGTATTGAAACTTTATAAATTTGTAAACAGTGTTCAATCTATCTGCAGCATCATGTCTCTATTGTTATTTTTGATTTTTTTTTTTTTTCAAAGTATTTCTACTCATAATAGAGGAACAGGGCAACCATATGCAAGGAGGACCTGTGGCACTCATGCAATATCTGTGGTTTTATTTTGTTTTATATCGTGAGTTCTGAAGGGACTGGGAGGCGTGCAGGCATAAGGTAAACTTCACTTTCATCCCACTCAAGCAATACACATCTTCCATATTCTTTGGCTAGCTGCTAGTCAATCAACGTCAGGTTATAAAGCAAACAGGAAAACCAGCATTTGTACATGATGCAACTCTCACCAAACAGACGAGAAGATAGTGATGCATTGCCTGTTTGGAGCTGTGTCCGTTGTACATAATGGTAGAATGTGATAGACTTACTTTGCGTCACCCAGAGGATAACGTGGCGCTAACGCATCTGGAAATGTGCTTCTCCTTACATACCCTTATGGATTTTGTTTTTGCTTCGTGATGTATACATATTTGAATTATGCCAGCACACATGTCCACTTCAAACTTGTTTGGAATTTTTAAAATGATTGTTCTTTTCTGAGAATCGGAGCAAAGAGAGTCAGTGCTTCATAATGTGCAGTGAAAGGATGAAGTAATATATTTTCTTTCCTCTGCAGAGCTCTTTTGTTTTTTTGTTTTTTTTATGGAAGGTGGGTAACTGGGGTCTTGTGGCACTTTCTCTTCACTCTGCACACATTTCACTCTGAGGAACTATGTTGGATTTGTACGTAATGAACAACAACAACACCACCAACAAAACAGTATGTAAGCAGTCTCCAGTAGTGATCGTAGTTACACTGCAAGTGTGTTCAAGGTCTATGTATGTATCTGAATGTATGTTTTAGAGGATTTTTTGGAAACCTGTATTTTTTTTTTTTTTATTTGATCTTTTTAATTTACAGTTTAGGAGCCACAGGTGTCCATTGTGAACTGTATAGCGAAGGCCTTGATATCCCTTCTTTTTATTGATTTTTAGTAATGCGAAGCATTTAGGCAATGCCTTCAAGCTGGTTACATTTGATGCAGGGGCTGAAATTGCCACAAGATTAAAATCAGTGTAAATAAAGGCTCAACTTTTTGTGATTGTTACTGTTATATCCAGCCTATACTGCTAGCAGCTGTTTTTACTGCAGTCAATTACTGGAAGTGGATATATTTCCTATGCAAAACTGTTTAAACAATAAAATGAGCTATGCTACAAAAATGACTTCATAATTATGATTCTTTCTTGTTTTTTTTTTTCTAAAATTTTACATAAAAACTGGGTTATTTCTGATGCTATATTTTTGAACTGGATGCAGGCTGAAGGAGTATTATTAATGCCTTTTTTTTTTTATTTTCTATGCAGATGATAATTCAACTATTTGCAAATTAACATTCAGTATTTTCTTTAAATTGTACCACAAAAAATTTCTTTTTAAGTTTGCAAGAAAATGTTTGTTTTCCACTTCAGTAATAGGTACTCTATATGCAGAAAACAACAATTGGAATGATCGAAAGGTAAAATCACAAAAGTCAGATACAGTTTAGATCAGATAGAAAAAAATGCAGAGTTCTTGCAAAGCACCAGAGGTGTCAAGTAACGAAGTACAAATACTTCATTTAGGTATCTATACTTTACTCCATTACTTGTTTTTCTTCCTACTTCTGACTTCTACTCATTACATTTTCACATTAATATCTGTACTTTCTATTCCTTACATAAACAAATCTTGAATTCGGTTTAATGTTTCTAAATATTTCTTTCACATCATGTGTGCCATCCTATGCAGATCATTGGCGCCATCCACATCTAGTGAAAACCACTGTGATTGGATGAGTCATATAGGGCAAACACTCATTGGTTAGCTAAAGAAAATCATCAGAAGCAAGCAGGTGTTCTTCAAACTGCAAATGTGAATTTACTATGCCATGCTACAATGTGGGATTCAGAAAAAGATGTTGAAATGTCTGAAAGGTCGGACACAGGCGAGAGCGTATTGGGAGATGAAGACGAAGACCTCCCTCATTCTTGGCCCTATCTTAAAGAATTTTTCAAAATGGTCAAAATTTGAGCTTTCAATTCATATAGTTTCATCTGGCTGTTTTTTTTTTTTTTTAAAGGTTAGTTTATACTTTTATACTTTAAGTAGTTTGTGAAGTACATACTTTTCAACTTTAACTTGAGGAAAGAGGTCAAGTTGATACTTCAACTTCTACCAGATTGTTTTTAAACTGCAATATCTATACTTCTACTTAAGTAACAAATGTGTGTACTTTTGACTCCACTGCAAAGCACTAAAAAGTATAAAAAGTGTGTGCATGTTCAGATTTTTTGTCCCCTGCCTCAGTGTTAACATATGCTTATTTATCCATTAATTTATACATTTATTAAGGCATTTATCAGTCAGTCCGTTGATCCATCTAAATAAAAGCCCATTTATTTGCTTATATATCCATTCATTCCCCAAATTTTATCCTGCCAGACTATTATCCATCCGTCCATGGTTGTCCATCTCTCCAATATTCAATCTCTTCAGCATCTAACCAAAAAACTCCAATGTTCCACTAGCAGGCTTGTGTTAACTTTGGCATTTGAAAACCATAAAAACAGAAAATCCTGAGCATGCCTGAAGCAGTGCTAAACACACTATAGATTGTATTTAATGGTAAAGGGTCTGTACTTGTATAGGCAACATTTCTTTGTTGGTTTTTTTCCAGCGCAAGTAGTAAAATGGACCTTTAAAAATCCAAGTGTAGACCTTCAGAAAATAATTGGTGTTCCAAAACAATAGCTTAATTGTGATTAGAGTATTAGTGTCAAAGTCCATGGAATAGATGTTGGCATATCAATAACATGATAAGTAAAAAAATAATTTAATTAAAGTGGGAATATAATTTTTATACTTTAAGAGGACATTTAATTGTTTGTCAGCAGAGTTACATTTTGGATTCTTTCTAGTTAAGATAAGTCTTCAATATCCTATCTTGCTTTGACCATTTTCTTTAACAGTTAAGTAATTTGAGGTCAGATTGATGGCACACACTGCTTCACTTCAATTTGATTTGCTTTTATGGAGATGTGAGGCAATGAATTTTTTTGAAAAGGTGAAAAAAAGGTTTTAAAAAACAACTGTAAAGAGGATTTGTGGTTGTAAGGGAATAAGGACATGCTGAGATCAGAGGGGAAAAAAATATCTTAGTACTCTAATTGGATTTGCCTCGATTCTTAGAAGTATCTGTCATCATAAGGCCTGAACCAAACAAACGTTTATGTCCTGCAACAGTCCACATGACTCATCATAGCCCCAGCTCCATTGTGGTATTACTCCAGCTAATCTGCTGTAACAATGCAAATCCCTGGAGAAGGGACCATGGTGTTCGGACCTTTACAATTAGTCCATCAGAACCCTGCAGGGTCACACCAGGTAACATCCATATGGGTCAGTGGGTCAAGTTTGAGAAGCTCTGACTGAGTAAGTCCTTCTAATGGGATTGAAGTCATTAGAAGGGGCAAACGTCAGGTTAAAGTAGCAATGAAATCTCATTATTGAGCTGTGTGATTGGCTTTTCTGGACAGTTGATGACAACAACAGGATCTGCACTCTGGAGGCCAGGTGCCTTATACACCATTGGGTCCCTCCTTTCAGTGATTAAGGCACTACACATGGCACGCCAACACCAGAAAAGCCCACCTGGCCTCTGGCGCCAAATCAGAGTTTATTTGGATACCATTAAAAGGGAACCAACAATGTGGCATGCGGATATAAAATTACTCAATCTATAATGGTAATCATGCCATTTATCAAAATTGGCCAGTTGAATCAACATCTGGCTTCAATAGGAAGCTCTTGTCGGGGAGGGTCTTGGCAGCGTCTTGTACCATACATATTTTCCATTCTCTTTTATCAAGGCCTGCTGTCAGTGATTTGACGAAGTTAAATAGATGATGATTTGGACTTATTATGTTTCGCAGAGCCCTAGCAAGAGGAGATTTGTTGATTACCTTTGTGTTTGTCCATTTTTTCTCCTTTTTCCACAAACGGCTCTGGTAAAAATAATGGCGCCTCTTGGCTGTCCGACGTGCAGCTTTACTGTGTACCAAAGAGAGGCTGGAGACGGAGGGAAAAAACACACCGAGTTCTCTCACACAAACATGTGAGTACTCAAGCTGGACTGTACTGCTGGACAAGAGCCAATGCCACAAAGAGCTCTGTCAGGTATTTAGCCTTTAACTGAGAAACACACACACACATATATATATATATATATATATATATATATATATATATATATATATATATATATATATATATATATATATATATATGTGTGTGTGTGTGTACATTCTCATTTAGTACAGAATTTTGGCTTTATTAGAAAGGAAGGAACATCTCATAAAAAGCAAAAATGGCATAAGCTTTATTATATGATTACTAGTACTGCTATGGAGACATAATGTTGCAGCAAACATATTTACGGTTTTCTATTACTATAGGAGAAATGTAAGATACATATTTTGCATTGCTAAAATGTATCCAACTCATTTCTTTTTGTCATCAATGTTTTTTTTTTTTATCTAACAGGAAGCAGCCACAGCAGAGTATGAGCAGATTTATTTTGCAAGCGCTTAGTGATCTAAGGCATATGCTTTTAATAAAGAAGAAGAAAAAAAGAAAGTATTTATATGATTACAGTCAATGAAGGAACCTGCAGAACAACTTTTAAAAAATCTTAGCGTAATTTTGGTAGGCCAGCCTCTCCTGGGAAGGTTCACCATGTTTTCCCCATGTGTGAAAAATAACTCTCACTGTGCTCCACTGGTGTCCCAAATATGTAAAAAATGCTTTAAAAAACTAGTTTCAGGCTAATGAATTTCAGTGGCATAATTTATTTTCTGTTCTTTAATATCATTAGATGTTGAATTTGTTTATTGATGTCAGACAGGATCTATCGGTTTAGTAGAAACCACTTTTGGTTAAAGCCAACCTACTGGAAGTTCAAAGCACTGCCATTTCTGCAATACTTGAATACTCTTGCGGTACTCTTACTTACAGTAGTTTTTCGCTGGTGAAACTGCACTGAGCAAACTAAAATTCTGTCATAATATAACTTAGATATATGTATAACTTATATAACAAGATTTGCAAATATATTTTCCCAGTTGGTCGGGTTGGTCTGAGATGCTTTTTATCCTTTATTAACCATAATTTAAAAAAATAGCTTTGTTTATTAATCCATGTTCTTGTCAGGCTCTGGAGCAGGTAACCTCATCACTTTGCTAAGATTGTAGAAAAGTGAGAGCATGGCACCAGAGGTTCTTGTAATGGGCAGCTTGTTTTACCAGGTCCAAAAACCAATGCTCTAAAGAGATCCTTTATATATAGATCATTACACCTTTGGAATAATCTACCTCACTACATCCGCTACACTGAGAGTAAATTATCTTTTAAAAAGAATCTGAGACTCCATTTGATGCCCTGAAGTGTTTCTGTTTTATTGACTGTTTTATTATATTTGTTCTTGTTTTATTGGCTGTTTTATTTTACTTGTTCTTTTGTACTTCCTATAGTAATTTTAAGAAATTACATTTTTGGAAATTTTTATATTTGTAACTGTTTTTACTGTATGTTTTTAATGTGGACCCCAGGAAGACTAGCTGTTTGCCATGGCAACAGCTAATGGGGATCCTTAATAAAATTACAAAAAAAAAAAAAATTACTTTCACATATTTTTAAAACTTTTGGATTCATGTTTCTACTTTTACTTCAGCAACAGATTGGAGGCAGTTAATATAATTTACCAATTGTTCTGCTGCACCTAGACAACACTTTCCAATTTGACTTAAAAAAAAAAACAACAAAAACAGTTTCATATATATACATATTTCTACTTTCTGGGCATTAATTTAATCTAGCCTAAGTCAAATTTATGTAATTCCATTGTTAATACCGATGGAACGGTGTTTAGCATTAGAATAAACGTGATCAAAGCATTTATCTGTTTTTAGCATAACTTTGAACAGTTCTCACCACATTAATTACCTAAGCACAATAACTACAGATGCTTTTGCCGCCTAAGGTTTTTAATGAGTAGGAAAACTTTTTAAAGGATGAACTTTGCTGAAGAGACACTTGAGATCTAACCCTGCATGTGTTTGTAAAATTGCAGCTGAAGAGAGCTTGAAGAATAAAAGAGGGATGTTTATAAAAAAAAGAAAAAGTACTACC